TACTATACTGTATATTGTATTGTTTTTGTGTAATTGTCATTGCTTTCACTTGTTTTTCTTCTTATTTTCATTTTAAATTCCCATCTTCATTCTAGCTATCAAAGGGTAATGTACATTAGTGTTCACTATCACACAGTATTACTTGTTCCTCTGTGTTCATGGTCATCACTAGTACTGTCTCCAATACTTGTAGCATTATATTTTCATTGTGTTTATAAGTACAGTAAAGGGTACCTCAGTGGCAATAAATTTTCCTTTTCTTTCATCCTTGGTTGTGTCGACTTATAATTTGCCATTGTGTTTGCCCTAAACCTGTTTATGTACAGGATGAACCAATGACATGGGAAGAGGTCGAGTGATGTGACCTCAAAGATAAGAAGCTACTAAGGAGCATTGCCATCAGGTTATCACACAAGCATGAAAAATGGTCATAAAACAGTGTGTGTGTAGAGGAAGGTCAGAGTTTTAGGATCACAAAACCAACAGATGAAATTTTCCATTTTATAATCAAGTGTATATTCTTTATATCAGATGATTTTATATAAAGGCAGATAAAACTAAATATCTGTGTACAGTATTCCCATGTAAAGAATTTCAGAGCAAACACAAATAAACAGAAGCAACAATATAATGTACAGTACTGTACATGTAAAAAGATAAGTATCATGTACAGTCCTGTAAATGCTTCATAACCTTTTATTCTACTGGTAATACAGTACAGGTGCTCCTCTACTTACGAACGAGTTACGTTCCTGAGGCTTGTTTGTAAGTCCAACTTTACTCTTGTAGACACCAAACATATTGTAAAAAATTAAAGGATTATGGATATTTAGTACAGCTATACCCTATAGTACAGTATACAGCCTTAAAACTTGGCTCACTCTTCTCCTCTTAGGTAATGCTTGTTCTATCTGGAATTTTCTTCAAAATAATCCAGTCTCATCCACATTAAACACCTGTTCTGGCAGGTAACCCCCCCCACCCCTCAGTGCAGATGCTTATCTCTGATAGTTTGTAAGTTGAACGTTCTTAGGTTGAGGAGCACCTGTACTCTGTATGTTCTATCTTTCTACTCAACAAAAGCCTATTTCACAATATATAAAAAAATGATTCTCTTACATAGTATTCATCTTGGATGTGTTCCTTTACTGTACTATACAGAACCTTTCCCTTGTGAGACATAGACATGATATATACTGAGGTCAATCATACATATGGATACATACACAAGATACAAATAATTTACAACTATGCTAGCTCACTATAACTAACTTGACAATACCCTTATCACATGCTTATATAGGCATAAACACACACTCCAAAATACAAATATAGTCATGTGTGCTCCATACATATAAATACCGTAAAAACTAAGGCACAAAGAAAGCAGGAAAGTATGCAAATCTAAAACACTGAATTTATTTAGGACTTCTCATATACAGTCCAGTAGGGTAACATCTTGTCTAAGTAAACAACACAACGAAGCAGTAACAGGTCACAGTTTCACAGCAAGGGCTGGGTGTGGTGTTTATTTGTGATGATCACTCAGTTTAGTGGTATATAGCCATTACGGGTAATTGTAATTCATTAAAAAAAAATCATGCGTAATATTGGTTATTACAACACTCAATCACTTTGCCAGAATAATGTAGAGAGATACATGTTTGAAAATGTCATAAGCATACAAGTACAACTGCACTGTAAACAAAGGAAGTGTAATCCATGAAAGAAGATGTACACTAACTAAAAAAATATTCTGCAGCCTTGGCTCTGAAATGATCACTACGACAGAAGTTGTGAAGAGTGATATCAGATTTCTTGGTCCGGTGTGTCATATTGTATAACCCTGTAGAGGTGCAAAATAATCTTTTAGCGAGTGTACAACCTGAACCAACCAAATATTACCTAACTCAATTGAGAAAAATATTACTAGTCCATTAGTACAGGTTAGGTTGATAATTTTTTCTGTCTTTAAAAATATTACACTTACCGTACCTTGTTAACAGGACCATGACCCATTTATGTAACCTGTTTCTACTTTCACTTTTTCTATATTCTGGTATAATAACTTAATCTTTCTAAAGAAATATATATAATGTCGTTCTTTAAAATAAATTCTGCTAAACATTTTACTTGGCTACTGCCAGATTTTATTCGGCACAAGAGGGGATCCCAAACACAAGAAATTAATGATTTCAAATGGAGTTTAACTAATATGAGAATAACCTTATTCAGAAAACTTGAAAACTTACAAATTAAACAAGGCTTTGATTTCAAAAGGGCCAGATTTCTCCAATTATACTGTACAGAATACATTAAATAAAATCTATGAATCCTCCTCTAAGTATTAATTACAGAAATAACCTCAATAATGCTTGGTAATGACATGACAATTTTAAAGCAAGTTGATCTCTTGACCTTAATTAGAAAAAAAGCAAACCTGAAGAATAAAAAAAAATTCCAACAACACTTTCTATTATCCATCATTTTTTTTTAACACGTTGAAATTTCTTTGGCAGGTTAAGTTGATAAAACTCTACTGCTCTTTGCAGGTTATGTGGTTTTACACAAGTATTCAGTAGTTTACATGGGTGAAACTAAAACGTTCTTTGCAAAAATACTCGAAGGTTGTAAGTTACTTTTACCCAAGAAATTTCCCCACTTACTTGTTTCTACTAAGTTTCCTTCCTTCCTTCTAAAGCAACTCTCAATCTGTTTAAGACAATCTTAATTTCCTGTGTATCCAAACAACCACCGACTCACTGTATACAGTATAATAACTTAACCAACATGCTGAATTCAGTATGGTTTTAAAGTTGGTACTTACCAGAAGGTGTGGCAAGAGTTGGTAACTTAAGGAATATACTACATGTGACCCTGCTGATCTGTATCAAGAAACATGTAATGTGAAGAGATAAATTGCAATGTTAAATAAAAAGCCTTTAAATATAAATCACATATTGAAAAATATAGGGGGAAATATTATCCCCATTAGCAGGAACAACTGGTGCAGAGCACTTCCGGGGATGAGAGATTTCCGGCTAACCAGATGACTTTCTCAAACCCAGAAAATTTCCTTATCCCGGGAAACCTTTCTGGTTACTGGAAAACGTTTCAGTGTCTAAACTAGACATCTTGCACAGACAGACACTAGTCCACTTCCCCAGAATGTTTCTGGGTGCTGGGGATGTTTTCCTCGAATCTAAACTACCAGAGTCCATAAATGCAGTTCTAATTAAGTTAGAAACTCCATTTCTTTAATATAATAATCCAGAATAGTTTATCTAAATGTTTGGTTAAATAAATATATTTAAAAATTAAAAATCTATGTTATGGGCAGCAAAGTCACATTTACCCTCCAATGGACCCTTCCCCCTCCCTTCCTCACAGCATTGTTACAAACTTCTATTTGTGTTAGAGAGATTAATTTGATACCATAATGATCCTGAATAAATTATCTACGAGACATTTCCAATATGATATCCTTAAATGACAAGCCAAGTAGTAAGGCAAAAAATAAATATTTACTGTACATGAAAAGTACTTGTAGGAATTAAAAATTAATGTACAGAAAATATACCATAAAACTAAAGATACAGGAGTTAAGAAATGAAAAACAGAATGAAGGTACAACGTTTAAATAATGAAATAAAATAATCATGTTAAGGCATTACACTACTAAATAAAGCCCGGTTAACGAGCACAATCCATTCTAGAAGGTTGCTCGTTAACCGAAAACTCATTAACCAAAACCATTGTTTCAATGGGTTTTTGGGTAATTGGTTCCAGCTCACCGAAAATTGCCTAAATTCAACAAAAAGGGTAGAAAAGTACACTTACTTTGAGGTGTGTATGCAGAAGGCTCCTGGATGATGATGATGATGGGAATTAGAATGGGGGTGGTGAAGGGAGAAGAGAAGGCATTGGGGTGGAAGAGAAGTCACCCCATGGTGCCATTTCACCCATAAAATTTTAGTTCTCTTGGTGTAATTCAAGATTATTTTCTTTAAATCAACACTGCACTGCATTATATATTATCAATATGTAAAATAAATTTCAAAATGACCAATAATTTGCTTGCAAACACAGAAAAAAAGCATTTAGTTGAAGAGAGTCTCAAGCAAGATGTTACCTCCACTGAAAAGACAGAGATTGGCGCCTGTTTGGTGTGTTGACAGGCTGGATGGCGCGCATAAAACTAGTTTCCTTACCTTCAATTATGTTCAATAATTGTTAAAATTACTAAAAAAATTAATATTAAACTTTTAAAATTATTGAATAATATAAACTTCTTGATATTTACTAAAATGGTAAGGAAAATAAGCAGTAGAACCGATTACTGTATTGGCAGACTAATACTACAGCTGGTGGGCCGCCAAATGCAAGCAAAAACGTGTTGAGGTCGGCCCGTAAGAAACTCGTTAATCGAGGGATTGCTCGTTAACCGAAGTTAAGAATCTTATGGAAAGTAACTCGTTAACCGAGGGACCACTGTATGGAGTTTAAACCTTTTCTAAATAGATCACGAAGAGTTAACCCCTTCAACATAACTAATAACCTTTTATAGAAAAACATATACGTATAGGTATATAGAGCAAATCAAACACAAATTATCATCACCCCCACCACTTTATGGCCATCTCCCACACTTGCATGGGTTAGCCATAATTACCAGATGGTATGGTGTCTAGTTGCCATCATACAAAAGTACTATAACTACAAAAATCAACCAACTGATCATATCTAGTACAGGAGGTCCCCGGGTTACAAATGGATTCCGTTCCCGAGGATGTTCTTATGTCGGATTTGTACGTAAGTCGGAACATGTGCTATGTGCATACCGTGCTTACAGAACAATGTTTAAACCCCCACTATATTATTTCCTAAGTCCTTAAATACATCTAAAATCACTTAACTTAAAACAAAAGAAGAAGTAGAATGACAAATTACAGTAAATGTAAGTAAAAAACTAAGTCATCAGGGAAATAAAATACTGTAAATTTAAAGTTTCACCCCTTTCGTATTGGCTGGCATTCGTAAGTCAGGGACCCTTTGTACATTACTGATGCATGAACACTTAATTGAAAAATTTACATTTCTTAAGAGACCCAACCAAATAAGCAAAACTCTTTGAACACATTCTAAGTATTTTGGGGCTTGTACAGTATATTCGTATGTGTGGATGATCAGTTGATGCTAAAATGTTTGCGATACATTCATCTACATTAATACAATTCTGTTTCAAAAGGGTTCCATGCCTTACTTTGTGCTGAAACTGATTATGACTTTTAAATTTATTTGGCAAATAATCCAGTCATACATGTGGAGGGTTACTGGGAACCTTTGGACTCAACTTGCAAACTCAATGAAACAAGTACACAAGTCCCCTAATCCATGTTAAAATTTTACAATTCATTAAAAATATATACCACAGCAGGATACAATATGGTAGTTTAAAATCTTTACATACAGTATCATTAGTTACAATATATTTCTTCAACGTCTATGGGAAGAAACTAACCCACATTTCTCAAACTTACAAATGCACAAGCTGAAAGAAACCAATATCTTGACTGGATCAAGCATAAAGTATACCATTAGAATGTTTAGGAATACATATCATATAACAACATGTATTGCATAAAGTAACTTTAGTTCAAATCACAGTTTGCTTATTTCATAATGTTAGTAATGCAAAGTCCTTAGAAAACCAACAGGTACTGTATTCTCCTATTCAGAAGCCTCTCACACATACATCAATATAATTATATTTAAAATAGAGTAGCACCTCACTCTCTCCAAATTATTTCTCTTTAGTGTAAATCATGATAGTTTCATATCGTTTGAGCTGTGAAAATGTGGAATCAGATGTTGCAGGCCACTTAAACTTCAAGCAAGAATTTCACAAGTATTGAGGAATTACACATAGTAAAGTTTTGAGGAAATTAACTTCTGTCTGTCCATCCTTGTAGCTTCAGCCATAACAGCATCAGATGGACCTTCTTCGCCACTTGATGCCGATGAGGATGTCTCACTGTGACAGAGATCATGAGAATGTACTTTAGCCCTGGAAGAAAATAAAAACCCATTAAACTAGGAAGAATAGATAATTGTGATGAATGGAATTACAATGAAAGAATTATGAAAAGTGTTAACCCATTCACTATGGGGATGCCAATTTTAAAATTTTATTTGGCTAACGCTAGACAATTTTATTCAGCAGAGAGGGGACCCCGTACACAAGTGGTTAAAAGCTCACACTAATCAGGAATAGAATCATAAGATTAGGCTAGTATAAAAACATTTAAGAGTGTCACAAGTAGCTGAGAATATTTGAAGGTGACATGTGATAAGATAAAAACATGTAATTTTACAGTGATTATGACAATTGTAATAATTCCTTGGTGAGAATTTGTGAATCATTAGTTTATTAATTGTTAATGTCCTAACTACTGAATCCTTAGATACATTTCATTCCAATTTCAAATCAGATTTCAGAGTCATTCCAGAAAACCTACACTGTACTGTAGTTTTTAATCGTGAAACATTAAAGATCAATGGTTACACAAAATATGACATGGAGGATATAGCAAAAAATTCCATTTGATGGTCAAGGAGACCTACTAGATGACCACCACCAAATGGCTCTAGGTTGAGCTTGCTAGTGTCTACTAAGCATGAATGATTGGCAACAGGTTGACATTATCCATTCAGTGTTTCATTCCACATTATATGCTAAGCAACCTTCTCACCCATTTAAATATAGATTCAAATCCAGACTTTGTGGTCTTCTCTTGGAATCAGTGAGGATTCAGGCCAAGAGTTATGACTCTTGGGGGTTTACTTTGGAATACTGATCCCCAACACACTCAGATCTCTAACGATTTAGCATCTATTCTCACAAGAAAGGAACAGATCTGCAGTAGTTCTCTCATACTGTCCCCTTGATCAAGGCTGGTCCTGGAGGGGTGCTGGGCCAGGTAAATGTCCCAGTTTGGCCTACCCTGAGCAAGGGCGGATCCAGAGGGAGGAGGGGTTCTGGGGGTCGGGACCCCCCCCCCCCTTTTTTTCACCAGAAAATTCCAGTACCTATTCTTTAATGCAGTATTGTACTCAGCCATTTTTGTATGGTAAAAAGTATTTACTTTTGACTTCAGAATATCCCCTAATATTAAGTGCGTATGGCTTCAAAATGTCCACCTGTCCAAATCCCCCACTTCTTGGACACCCACCCTCCTTGATATATTCCTGAATCCGCCTCAGCAAAGACCAGCACTGCCCTTGGTTATAAAATTGAATTTCATGCCTTAGACCTAAATTTATGACCTATGGATCTATATGAAAGACCTGTGAAACTTGATCTGTTTCAGAATTAGGAGGATAATATGTAATGTGAATGTCACAAATACATCCTAAACTAGGAAACATACAGTACACCTTCAATGGGAGAAGCATAATATGGACAAACCTAAACTCACTCAGTATACAGTATATATGTAAACTCTTTCTTCAAATATATCTTTAAAAATATTAAAGATGAGACCTAATTAATCTTTTGTATAGTACTGTATGACCTTTCTGTACAATCTCCTTAAGAATGCTAAAAAGAGACCAAATCAACGGACTCACATGTTCTGGTAAAGCAGGTGTGATCCAAAAACAATTCATGTGGATATAATGCTTAGAAACTTCAGACTTGGATATACAGATAAGAATACAATTTTCCCTTAGTTTAATGGTTAGGGCAAAGATCCTACATATTATTATTTGTCTTGTTGTGGAAAAAGCTATGAAAGCAATGGCTTAAAACCTGGATTACTATAAAATCATATAACCCTAGAATAAGCATCGTAATCTACTTGTTAATTATAATGGTAAACTCACAGTTGCATTTGGAAGACTAATATGTGAGTCACCAGAGCCAGAAGATAGGTTATAAAAATTAATATGCAAAGAGGCATGCATCTTACCTGAATGCAACTAAGTGTGCATAATAGGCTGGTGTGGGAATAGAGACTGATCGAGTGCAACGAGAGTACAAATGGCACATGGCATAGGTAAGGGTTTGCAGATCATTCATTGTTAAATCACTGTCATCCCACAGTATGTGATAGTGTGTTGGTTTGCTTGTTCCTTGGATACCCTGAAAAATTTTAACACATTAATCTAAAAATGTTTCAGTTAACATTATTTTCATTTATGAAAAGACACATGCATACTATTTTCATTTAAGTAAATACAGTAACACACACAAACATACTTTACATATAAATATACAGTATACAGTCCAGTAATATCCATTTTTTTACTATGTGGGTGGCATGTGGCCCGAACCATGTCTATGTGCGGCACACTGTGTGATTGAGAAATTCTATTTAATGTGGCCCGTGGTTCAGGCAGATGCAGCCAGCTTATGGTGAGTACAGCAATATTTGTTAAAAGAATAATCTTTACACACAATTCATTACTTTCATCACCTAATAGTAACTACAAAAATGTAACAGTGAAACAATTATAAATACAGTCGACCCTCGTTAATTCAGACCCCTTTAATCCAGATTTCGGATAATTCGGACAAAATCTGAACGAACTTTTTTTTTTTTTTATAGATTTGTAGGAATATTACCTACGCGGACCTAAAGCTAAAATGCTGGTCCACCCACTGCTGGGATAAAACACCAGCGTCTTTTTGGTTAAATGTAACATCTCCACCACTAGTGTGGGGGGGATGCAACTTTTAGCTTCAGACATGAAAAATATTTACCATTTACTGCCAGTAAACAATGGAAACGTAAAATATGTACCAATTAGTAATGAAAAGTTGTGCAGTTCCTTCAGCAAATGAAGCTCACCAACTTACAATAGGCTAAATTACCTTACAACGTGTTTTCAGTAGTCTATGTTGAAGTTCTTAGCACAGGCTAACTTATCATATCATATACGGTATCACAGTTCTCATTGATCTACAAAAAATACCAGTAATAAAAACCTTTTCGATATTTCACACTTAATATAATACCCGGTAATCTACTTCAACCTCCTATTGTTTACAACGACGCATGAACGCACCACCAGCTGTTGAGTATCAATCAGCTAGACGGTACACGTGTTTTTCGAATCGTTTTCAGTTAAAAAACTGTTACATCACATGTATATTTTACCTTAACTGTGCCTGAATGAATATATTCTTCGGAAATAAATAGTAGTTTTGCTGAAACGTGATGTATTTTAATGTAAAATAGGATAAAATACATGACGAAAACAAAAGATTTTACCTAACCTTCCGATGTTCAAGAGAAGTTACTCGTTTTTTTTAATAGTTTTTGGTTAAAATACTGTTATATTACAATGGTATTCTATTCATACTGCGCTTGATATAATGCATTCACGGAAATGTAATATTTTTGCTGAAATGACGTACGTATTACAGTGGAAAGTGGGATAAAATCGTGACGAAAACAATGACAATCGCTTTCTTTCGTTCAAAAGATGTTACCGTAATCGCTTTTCGATTGGTTTTCAGTTAAAAAACTGTTGTATTACAATAATATTCTATCCTAATTGACTTGAATAAATACTACGATACCATATTTCTGGATATTTTCATTAAAATCCATCCAAATCATTTTCCTTGTCATCGTCTGCAGCACCAAACAGCTTCTCCCAGTCCTCTCCTTGAACAGGGCTGGAGGGTACGTGTTTTCCGAATCGTTTTCAGTTAAAAAAACTGTTACATCACACGTATATTTTACCTAAACTGCGCCTGAATGAATATATTCTCGGAAATATATAGTAGTTTTGCTGAAACGTGATGTATTTTAATGTAAAATAGGATAAAATACAGGACGAAAACAAAAGATTTTACCTAACCTTCCGATGTTCAAGAGAAGTTACTCGTTTTTTTGAATAGTTTTTGGTTAAAATACTGTTATATTACAATGGTATTCTATTCATACTGCGCTTGATATAATGCATTCACGGAAATGGAATATTTTTGCTGAAATGACATACGTATTACAGTGGAAAGTGGGATAAAATCGTAACGAAAACAATGACTGAAATATAATGCAATATTAACCCCTAAATCGGTTAATTCGGACAATCGGCTAAAACGGACACCCTCCCCCCCCCTATTAGTCCGAATTAACGAGGGTCGACTGTAGTCAACAATATAAACATTTTAACTTGTTTGAGTTTACGGGCCAAGTTCGGCGCGGTCTGTTTGATGGAGTATCTACTGTGTGGCAGTGGCTCAATTGGGAATTAGATTTAGATTTAGAATGCCCCAGAGGGAGCTAGTTTATTGGGCACCCCATTACATCCTGTGCAAGGTGAAGCACAGAAGCGTTTACAGTTCCCATCTGGGAAGCATACGGAGTTCATGCTTGCCTTTATGACTCATGCATTAAGGGCGTAAAAGCCTGAAGGGTCATGGGTTTTGTCAGCAAGTTACATAAAGTGACAGAATGATGAGTGTGGGGAATTACCCGGTACAATTTATCTGTTTATGGCAAAGCGTGGCAGGTCCCCAATAATGTCAAGTGCCAGGCCACTAAGGTTAGGTAAATCCAAGTGGGGTCAAAGGTAAAGGTCTCTTCCTTGTTGACAGACTCACTCTTCATAGTACCTCATCCTCCATGCCTTTCATGCTTGGCTGTCAGTTCTGTCTACTTCAAGTTTATAAGGGACTCATTTGTCCTAACTTGGAGTATTGCTCTCATATCTGGGATGGCTCTTCTTCTGTTCAACTGTTAGATTGGGTGGTATCAAAGGTATGTCGTCTAATGGTGTGGGTCCAATTTAACCCAATAACTGCAGTATTTGGGGAGTCAAGGGTACACCTATGCTGGAAAAAACTTATACTGTATGAACAATTTTTTAAAATTTAACACGGTATATAAAATTTAGAAGTCATATAAAAACTTTCTACACATTATGGGTGGCAAGTTTAAGGTCTGTGAAGTGAGGCAGAGTGCAACTGGCAAGTGTTGAGGGCTGGTTGTTGTTGTGATGACATGGTGGTGGTGGTGATGCAGCAATGGGTTTGGTGGTGAAAAGTGGGTGCTAAGCCCTTGCATAGGTGGTGAGCCAAGCTATGATGCGGGTGAGGGGCCACTAAGGGCAGGAGGATGAGAGAAGAGGAAAGAGGGTGAAGTGGCATAAACAATTCCGAATCAATCCAGGTTGATGACAGCATGTTAACCAGAGACTCCACCAGCCTTGTGTCTCACTCTACAGGGTCTACCAATCATCACCTTTCCATTCTTAAGATGATGATGATAGTTTTGGGCAAAATCATCTGAAGATGATGATAGCAGTTAAAGGATTAAGGAAGGTGCACATCATTTTTTTTTTCCAATGCATACCTGATGTGAACACAGGTAAAAGTCTCTCTCTGTGGGATGAGTAATGAATGTATCCACTGTAGTTCCTGGGGGAATATTCTTTGACCTGCCCACTCCATCACGGTCTTGGCAGAACAATCTGTAAAGGAAATTATTAATACTACTTTATACAGAAAAATGCATGGGCCTTACAGTTCTTAAGACTATTCACATATCTGAGTACTGTATAAGGGCAAGCCTTTCACAGAATAAATTATTTACACGACTTAATTTTGCATTATCTTCCCTATAGAGAAAAAATAAATATAGACTCCTGAAAATATATATCTCTACAACACAACTATCAACTCATAATTTTTAACTAATAGGTCACTCTTTTGCTATTCTTGATATGCATTCAACGCCTCTCCCTTAATGAATATGTTCTTATATTCCAGGATCCAACCACTCCATGTCTGATATAGAACAGTACAGGTATTCATAATTCACAATATCTAGTCTTTTTTTCTCCACTATATGAAAAGAACCTTCTTCAATACAGGTTAGCCATCTAGTTATAAACTGATATTTACAAGGTTTTGACCACAGGCTTTTTCATGACTAAGCCATTTCAAAGCAAGGTGAACACTTTTGAGTCAATGGCTTATGACCTGAGATCTCAATGCTTCCTGAAACTATCTGGAACATGAATTTAGCTTTGACTGGATGAGCCGATTGATTGTATCCAGCTTGTGATGTAACCACTAATTGTATGTTTAGTGGATTCTTCCACTGTGCATACCATGAGCTTTCTCAGCAAGTTAGAACTAGTAGGCCCTGAAGAAGATGTTCAGTGGTGGTATGCAAGGACCAGATAGCCAAAAGAATATCTATCATGTCTCTCTGACCTTGGAGGAGCAATATTAGTTGATCTCTTACCTTGTATGGTGTCTTTTCTGAACAACAATAAATGTCATTGCTGGAGTATAGCCTTCCTCCAACTCCGTACAAGCTGCACGCATAGCCTTCAGTTCATATGACAATACTTCTAGGAACTGTGACTCACTGACACCATCACGAAACATGATAATCCTATCTGGTTTCCGTTTTGTAGATTTATAAAATGATATCAGAAGGTTCCTGAAAAAAATAAAAAATAAATTTAGCATATTTGGTATTATTTTCTTCCACTCAACTCAAAAAGCATCACCTATCATAGTAGCAACAAAATCATGTACAGTGGGGTATGCTATAATGAACGGATCCTACTACGAATATTCCTATAACGAACGGTTTTACCTATAAAATTGAGAATGCTATAACGAACGAAACTCCTACAACGAACATTATTTAAAAAAAAAAAAAAAATTTTTTTTTTTTTTTACTAATTTATTGTTTTTTTATTACAAATATTAATGATATTCTTTATTTCAGGGGTTTAGATGCATATTTATGCACTTTTTTACAATTTTTACAATTTTATATTATATTTTTCAGTGTTAAGTGGTTGTATTTGGGGGCCTGGAACGGATTAATCCTATAACGAACGAATGCTATAACGAACAAGGTTCTAGAACCAATTAGATTCGTTATAGCATACCCCACTGTAAATTTAAACTTTCTATAATTACCTGTACTGTACTCATAAATAAAGGGAGGTAGCACTGTACAGTACTGCGTTACAGTATTTGTCACATACTGTACCCTCATTAATTCAAATCCTTGTACAGAAATTCGGATTTTGGATTAATTCATATTTTATTTATTTTTTAATCAATTGAACGATTTGAATTCGGAATGAATCTGAAATAAACGAGCGGTTCCAAAACATCAACTAATATTATAGGAATATATTATGAAATAGATTAAGATGAATGAATTATAACAATATACTGTAATATGAATCATAGTAAGATATTGTACAATACTACAATTGGGTACTTAGCCCAGGAGAGGAGGCAGCGGGTGGTGGAGGAGGAGGGAGAGCAGGGCAACTCACCATCCATATTAGTCAGACTGTGATCCCTTTATATTGACAGTACATTATGCAATTTCACCACAATTCCCAAATCATTTAGGTTCATTTAATGCCGGGTCAGTAAAACATTATCGAAAAAGAATCAATTTTCCCCCAAAAATCACATACTCCATCCCAGGTGAGGTATTGCACAGTAGTATATTCCAGGTCTCTTGTTTACAGAGTGGTATCAGCTGATCACTCCTGCTTTCCCTAACATGTTGCCAGCACTCACCATCTTTCAAGCACTATTGTTGTCTCTGCTCAAAATGGTTGGTGCTTACCACAGTATCTGTCTTGAGCATTAGTAATTAACATTGTAGAATATTTATCAGAACGTAATAAATATTATTGTACTGTAGTGTACAATACATCTCTATATGGCCTGGTTTAGTCACCGATCAGTCGTTAAGTGCAAAAGTAGCCAAATCAAGCCATTATGTATCAATTATTTTTAAATTAGAAATTAAAATGTTAAAAGACAATAATTTAGTAGTGCTATGTAAGTGCCTTGTTACCTCCTGCATCATCACCTATCTCTCACCTCGTCAGCTCACTTAACGGAATGTTTTGCCATGAAGGTATATAATGAATCACTTTAAAACAGAACAGTCGCAATCATCATATGACAGAGACTCGGAGCATTTGTGAGAATTCTTTGTCCGGTGTGTCATTTTGTGTAACACTGGAAAGGTGACAAAAGCAGATACCCTTTTTGCTGACCTACTCAACAAGCAGAAACTAGTAACCCTTGCACCAGCAATGGCATTAATTTTCATGATGTAAGCCCAATTCAAATACTGTACAAAGAACAAACCACTTACTTTGTCATCTCCTTAAGGTCCTGTATCATCTCAGTGCGATGTTTCTGATGACGGACCTCCACAGCATACTTGGAAGCAAACTTATCAGTTGTGGCTACAACTGCTGCTAGGGAAGGAGTTGATATATCAGATGCTTGAGGATGATTAACATCTGCACCCATGATCATTACTGGATTACTGAAAACCTATAAAAGAAATAACAAGACTGTACAAGTACTGTACTCTACTTAACAGGGATCTCAAAATCAAAGAATTTACAATATAGCAACCATATTAAAATCTATTGCAAGAGACTCAAAAGCATATATGATACATTGATATTAACTTTGATTTCCAAGAGGAGTTACTACAGTGCAATCTATACCGATATATCAGGACAGCATAGCTTGCCATTAGAACTTACCAAGCCATGGCAAGCACTACCTGGGTCTTTTCACACAGGTCAATCTTATCCTCCCTTTAACTGAAAAATTTGATTTTTTTCTTTACTATTAATAAATGATAATCAACTTACAATAGGACGAGAATTTACTCCAAGTACATTATTTGTGCCTCCCATCTTGGCATTAATCTTGAGCAGGATATTTCCAACAGTGGGTGCTTGATTTTTCCTGACATTTAATCCTTGAATGCATTGTGTTATGACACCCAAAACCCGATCACCAACTTTCTTTACTCGACCTGCGGTTAATGAGATAAAATATAAAACACTTTCATTATACAGTAGAATATCTATCGATACTCATACTACATATTTCTATGGTTTCCTCAGTATCTTGTCTGTCAAACACCGTACACTATGCAAATCAATGTATCACTAATGATATAAGCAACAATCTCTATTGCAAATAAATACTATTTCAAATCCTAACAATAAATGGACAGCTACATGAACATTTTCCATGAACCAATTAGCTATTTGTAGCTACACTGTAGATGAGGGGCGTGGCTTATGGGCCAGGTTAATGTGGAAACACTATAAGCTGCTTAGAGGACATTGCATTAGTCAAAACTAAGGCAAGTCCGTTCACTACAAAACAATGGACAGTGCAACACAGAGTGAGAGCATGCAGGCTGCTTCACTTGGATTCTCACTAACCACCAGCTCCTACATTGTTCATGAGCCCTAAATACATAGCGGGAGTCCATGTGTGCCTACAGTATACTGGTTCTGATTGCATGAGCTTCATACATCCAACCCGTCACACAATTTTCCCATATAAAGTGAGGGAGTGGTAGAAATAGGGTATTCACATAATAACAATAAGGAAAGTTGTATAAAACAAGGTCCATCTGCATTTGTAAGCCATACATACCATAAACATCTTTAGATTTTGGTAATACAACCATAATCATTTCAATTGTAGGGAACTTCTTCTTGATATTGGCAAAATCAACTTCAGGATTAACTGCATAGAAGTCTCTGACCTCGCGTATTTCCACTGGTTCTTCTATGGTCATCCCACGTTCTCGTCCCATTCTTCTCAGGCTTCCTAAAAACTCACTGTGCAGAAAAATATAAAAAATTAATAAAACTGCAAAATTTACATAAGGTTGTGTCCATAAGATACAGATGTCTCTTACATGTAGGTCACTTGACTGATGAGCTCTAATATTATTGTTAATCTGACCTATGATGCTTGAACTCGGTGTTTGCGAAATATATCACTACACTCAGGTATGAAGCTTTAATAGAATCCCACGTGGATCAAGAATCATAAAGACTCATATTGACTAGTGACCTATACTATTTTTTATAAAAACATCTGGTTCTTGTTTGTGACAAACTGTCTAATGATGAGATACAAATGTTTAAATTATCATCAACTATCTTGAACAGTTTAACAGTGATAATTATCTTAAATAGTTTAACAGTGATGGATAGTCAAGCAGACAGACAGGTGAATGATCAAATGAAGAAGTGCAAATACTTGAAGATGTTTTAACCATTTTACCATTATATAAGCACCACTATGTTTTCCAAGGACGGCTATGGTTTCAGTAAATTATGACAAAGGAAGGGTGCTTACACTGTCCAGTGAGGCTCACTCACCACTTTACAGCCATTTTCCAAATTTGCATGGATTAACTGTGACTACATGATGGCTGTTCTCCAAGCTGCAGTCTTTTACAGCCTCTCTGGTCAAGTTCTCATCTCTATTGTTATTTCTCAAAACCTTTCCCTGTGTCACTCCTGGTCTATCCCTTGCTTCCATCCCCTCCACATTCACACTCCTGCAGCTCTTGACATAACTGGTCTCCTACTTTCTCTCCATGTGCCTGAACCTTCCAAGCCTACCCCTGCACTGTCATTGGCTACTTCCATTCTTCTCAGCTTAAACAGAAAACTTCTTTTACATTCTGGTCTATAAATTTCCATACACTCCTTGGATCTTATGTCTGTAGAGTACTGACTAATAAAATTGACTATTCAAATATGTAATCATCTTACTCTGCTCACAATAGTGATCTCTGTTAGCTGAATATGATTGTTTACCCATTACAACTGAGCCATTTCAAAGTAGAAATAGATATCATGCAGCAAATACTAACAAAATAAAAATTTAACTGAAATTTTGATAGTAAGCTTCCTAACACAGCTGGCATTACAGACTCAATACAATGATTGTATGCAATTAATTTACATCAACCTAATGGATCATATGGAATGTGTTAGATGAAAATAGTTTGTTGTCAGCAAAAGTAGCTGCAGACTAAATTAATGAGCCCTGCCCCCAATTCAACCTTTTCCGTAACTTTCCACAAACCTCAAAACAGAAAACCACATAAAATTATATCATTATGAAGAAGTAAGTCAACATAATACTTGAGGAATAATTGTCAACCTAATGAACAATTAAAAACTTACAGCAAGAAGTCTTTCTTCACATATCCTGCATCATAATTTACAACAGCCCAACACCCTAATTTGGCACTCAAGTAGAAATTTCGATTTCGGGCATCCCACACACCCTGGTAGGGCAGGAACTCTTCATTCATCTGAATCTTTGGGGCAGGCAAAACTCGGCCATCCAAAATCACTGGCTATTAGAAAAAAAATAATAATAATAATTAAATAAAATAATTTGAATGCTGTACACTGTAAAAGAAAATTCATCATAAAAAAAAATTCATCCAATTTTACATCACAATTACAGTAGTGCAAAGTCTGCATTTTTGCAGCGTAAAAGATAATTGCTATTAACCTCAAAATATCTCCTAATATCAATTGAACATGGCTTCAATATGTCAATGACATTGATCAGATTTCCAAAAAATTTCTGGGGGGCTTACAGCGCACGCCTTCCCACACCCCCAATTGGTTGTGCTTGCCATGTTCCCCACCCACAACTTCTTGGACCCCCCCCCCCCACTTTGATATTATTGAATCTGCCCCTGGTCTGTGACCACAGTATACAAGCTGTTCACTCCCACTTCTAATTTTGGGAGACACATGAGCCTACTCATGGAGTAAAATACAAAATTGTCAATTATACATAGTGAACCACTATGCCAGCTGAGGTGAAGAAAATTACCGGTAAGTAAACCATTCAAGCTGGAAGTGTCTGGTATGTTTAGGTCAACATTCTATGCCAAGGATAGTTTATAACACTATTCCTTCGCAGTCCACTACATTGGGTTTATTTATTTCCATATTTATTATGGCATAAGTGTTCTAACTCCACACAGTATAAGGAGAATCTGGCCTTTAAGTTAGTCCCTTTCGGGCCCAAAATTTATTTCCTTACGTCAAATCTTTTTGTGGCCCTGCAAGACTTTGTTTTATGGTTCCTGTATCCGTATTAGCCTCTGTCACATTAATATTATATAAATATGGGCTAAGAACACATATTCATTATATACATTTTATCACCCAGACTATTGAGCATACAGCTACATAAGCATTTGTTCTGTCACACCTCCGAGGGTGGACAGCCCATAAACATTTGTTCTTTCACACCTTCTCGGGTGTACAGCCCATAAAACTACAGACTCAACCCTCATTGTGTGGGTAGGCTGTTCAGTTAATGTCCGTGTTGAAGTGTGGTTTATCTCCAACCACCAGGCATCAGACTCAGAGAGTTCAGCCCAGTTCTCACCAGTTCACAGCCCGGCACGATACCTTAAAATAGTGTCGAGAGACTGTGCCTCTCTCTAAATATGTCAGCTAATTACAAGCTAATAGCTAATGCTCATTAGTCTGTCAATACCAAATAATTGTACAGACATGACTACCCAATATAACTAGAAAATCACCACGAGTGTTTACATTAAACCAAGGAACAAGTGAAGAGAACAGTACCTGTGTGTCTTATTTAACTTACAAGCTAAGATAATTATAAGTACAACCCAGGACAGCTGTGACGATTTCAATTATCAACCAATCTACGACTGTATCAAAGGTGACACACCGAGAGATTACCTGATATCTCACTCAGCTGCATCAAAGGTACCAGCGACTAACCTACACTCATTCAGGCACGTGTTAACAAGTGAGATACAATAGTTTGATATCATACCACAGCTAAAACATATCCCAAACCAAAGATTGACTGATTGACTGATTGTGGTAATTACATCTGCATGCAGGATGACAGTTTATATGACAAGGAAGTGCTCCTTATTCAAAGGTAAGAGAAATTAATAGGCACAAATATTTCAAAGCTCAAAATTTGAAACTACACACAAGACAAGCAGGAAAGTTTTTTTGGACCATAAACATCCTTTCTCTCCAGACTTCACAGTGATATCTCCGTTAGCTGGAACAACTGGTGCAAAGCACTTCCGGGAATGAGAGATTTCCATGTATCGAGACAACTCTCTCAAAGTTGGAAAAAATCCCTCATCCCCAAAATTTTCTTAAATTTTCTGGGTAACGGAAAAATTTTCTCGGAAGTTCCAGAATGATGCATTATTTCATCTCTCAAAGCCAGAACAAAATTCCTCATCCCCGGAATTTTTCGGATAACGGAAAAATATTTTCTTAAGTTGCAGAAATTGCGCATTACATCATCTCTCGAACCCGGAAAAAACTCCCCCATCCCTGGAATTTTCCGGGTACTGAGAAAATTTTCTCAGAATTTTCCAGAAAATGTGCCCCTTGGAAAATTGTTCCCAAAGCTGTAATTTTCCAGAAAATTCCGGCTTTGGGACCGATTTTCCGAGAAATTTCAATTCCGGCTATCAGAGAGTTCCAGGTTTGAGGGATTCCAGCTAATGGAGTTATTACAGTATTAATAAACTTACTTATCAAAATACATATATACATAGTACTGTACAGTATATCATATGGCAGTGGAATCTTAAAAATTCCAAGCACACAAAATCGATTATGTTTAAATATGCTCACTCACCCGGTCTGATATGTTGAATTCTAAAGCTCTCATCATGGGATCGTTTGACAAATTTTGTTGATTAACAATATCTTGGATTTTATGTAGTCTCTCTGATGGAATTTTGGCTGTATTTCGAATGAACTGTGACGTCTCTGAGTCACTAAGCTTTTTAGGTACCTTCTGTCCTTTTGCGATCCTGCAACACTGGAACATTATTGAACATAAGTACTGTATATCTATAGATCATATTAAACTTACTAATAAATGTATTATGAAGCGAGACTCGTGACAGAATATAAAATTTACCAATAAATGTACCCCTTTGCCAGTAAGTACATAAATCTAAATAAAGTATATGTCACTTGATAAAGCTATTACACTCAAATCGAAACACTAAGATCGTTTTGCCTCCAATATGCTCGCAGCTACATATGCCTACCAGCTACCAGATGATTCAACTCTCCACATTTTCATACTACCTGTTCATCTTTCAACACTTCAGCTCCAAGTTAATTAGCATACAGAAATAAAAAATAAGTTTCTAGAATGTTTTGTTGCACTTTGTTTCCATATAAAACTTAGAGAACAATTGGGCTATCTGGATGGTTAGTGGTCTGACTTCCAGTGAGTGGTTGAGTGCACAAATGACTTGTTTACATTAGCTTCCACTCACTGGACAATTGTAATTACAGCATTTGGTGAGTATCTAGAGAGGTGAAATTGGGTCCTTAGGGACAGTTTCGATACAGCACACTGTATACTAAGCCTTCAGTACACAAAGAGGCAGCATGGCCAGTACTGCACTTGACCACATTCACTTCTCCAAGTTGTAAACTTAGGTACCCATTTATAGCTGGGTGAACTGGGAGTGCCCGGGAATCGAGCCGCCAACTCCAGGAACAGGAGGCAAGTGCTGTATCCACTTGACCACTGCAGCAACATGTACTTGCACATTTAAAATAGCCTGCACTTTGTTATGGTCAATTATGGTTGCCAATCATTTCTAAGGCAACATATAGTCATCAGGTAGTACATATGCCTTGTTCACATCCTGACTAACTTTCTACACCAACAGTTTAAGGCAGCAGTTCACCTGGTCAGAATGGGAAGGTTTTACCATCTCAGACATCAGTAATATCGTTGGTTCACTGAAATGAGGGAGAGAATAGAAACTGCTCTTTGAATTAAGTCCAGATGAAATTTTGTAAAATAATGACACCAGTAATGCAAATGCGTCATATCATGCAACTTTCTGTGCAGATTCCCAACTTAAGCCAGAGGCTGGTGTGAAGAAAAAATCATGGGTTAGAGTGGTTCCACACGAGTCCTTCGGTCTCTAGACCATAGGTCCACAACCTTCATATTTCCGGCTGGCATGACAGCATCCAAAATATGTGATGAGCGGCCGGCTAGATTGATCAGGTAGATAAGGCTGTTTAAACATTTGATGCAGCAAATACCTTATATGATTCTCTTTGTAAAACTAGGAAATATTATACCTGGCAGCTGGCAACACACACACACCAAGTATATATAATGCTTGTAACAATTGGTCAAAATTCATAGAGTTTTTTCCTGAAAAATTTTTGTACTAATTTATTTCAAATCCTTTTCTTTTTATACAGACGAGGTCAGTCATTGTCAGTCGTATATTAACAGGGGGAAATCTTGGAGGTGCACACTTGTTGCTTCTCGACCTGTAGATTAATATTCTGAAGCACACTCACAAAACTACAGTCATTGTTGGACCATTGAAAAAAAAAAGTGCATTAATTAACACTGAAACAGGTAGATTTCATATCATTTTCAATGTTTGGGTCAACTCAGTGTTGTCAGCAGACTTATGTATAGAACAAGTACTGTATTGCTCAGAGCTCACTGCACTCACATAAAGGAACTTGTGCAAGCAGCTTTTACTAAATTTGAACCTGATTTCATAAAAATTGCAGAGAACATTTAGTCTAAAATTATAACACATATGATTCTTAGTATTTTATAATGTGAAACATAATTTTTGGTTGCATTAATTTCTATTGCCACCCATTAGGTACTTAAAAGTTTTGTTCTGTATTCTTATCTAAATACAGTATATGATTTAGTTCTAAAAATTTTCTTAATGCCAATTTTGTTTTATATCTTAAATTTAATACATGATGCATAATTACACTGTATGATGGCTGTGGCCGATTACTTATTTCTTGTTTGTATTGTGGCCAATACTTTATAAAATTTGCGGATCCCTGCTCTACACCTGTGCTTTATTAAGTCAAAGTTTTACAGCAAAATCTTGAAAATTCTCAAACAACTGTACCTAAATACTGTACAGCCAAAACTTTATATAAAATAAGTCCAGACTTATGAGGTCTTACAGTATATAGGACAAGAAAATGAAACAACATATATATTCTCTTACTTCAATTGGTATGTAGATGTTCCTTTGAACTGGTCCAACTTTCAGGCAGTTGAGACGTGGATAAGTCAGTTTCTTCCTATAACAATCTAAAAAATACTTTTCCACTGTACACTGTTTAATTTTACCACCACCAGTGTCAAGTGGAAAGGTCTGACGGTCTGCTCCCAAAACTCCGACATCTGTGACCTTGTACGTTCGTTTGTTTTGTGAGTGTGTTACTTGTACCTGAAAAATAAACTTATTACATCACAAGTACAGTATAATAAACTGAGTATGTCAGTGGAATAATTTTACAACTACTGTATGTACAAGAAGTAGATTGTACAATACTGCTGCACAGTTCTTTGCCTCCAATTGGAATTACATTAAGTAACTGATATTCAATCCTAATACTGTACCCTATATTCTACCATGACCCATGGTTAGGCTGTTCTTGTTACAACATTTGCCAAATTTGGTGTCTTGGCCAGCATAACACAACCACTGTGACAGCTGGGGCCTAATCTTACAACAGGCTATCCCTCTGTCTGCAAGTTGGGGTCTCATTTTATGCGGGTCTCATGTGTGTGATTATTAGGTAAGCGGTTAGGTGAAATGTGACCTTAGTTATAGCTTACGCGGAAAGTCATGGGTAGCGCAGGTAGCGGTATAATGTCAATTTAGTGACCTTTTGCTTTATTAGCCCCAAATTTAGCAATAATAGTCATTTTAGTCATTGGACATTAGTTTTATAATGTATCAGTACAGTAGTACCTCAGCAGGTAGTAGGTAGCAGGCAGAGTTAAAAAGTAGCAACAGCACTGGCTAACCATTACCCAAGAACATGATCCACAAATCGATTAACATCCAGGTCCCCAATTGCTGCTGGGTAGATAGAGGCAAATGGCATAAAGAAACTTGCCCATAGTTTCACCCTGCCCTGTTGACCACTGTTTTCACCGAGATGATTGTTATGTACTGTAAAGTGTTATATGTAAGTAACCACAGAATTTGTCTTGTGAATAAAGAGAAAACTGTATACACTGTATTTTAGAGTACTATAAAGATAAAAATAAGAGGGTAGGGGTATACTGTGTGAGGGAGATGAGAGTGATCTAGGAGCAGCAGGTAGGGGGTGGTGGTAGCACGAGTGGGTTGTTCCCTCCCCCGCGATCCCTTAAAACATCTTTATGCAATTTCACAATGATTCACATATCATTTAGGTTCATTTGGTGCTACATTGATAAAATACTATCATAAAATAATCAACTTTCCTAAAATAAGAATCCCACACTCAACACCATGAGTCATTTGTTTACAAAGGGCAAACAAACGATCACGTTAGCTCCTTCACCTTTCATGCTTACCACAGTATGTCTTTAACACTTAGTAAATTAGTACAGTATTAAGTGTTGTTAATACAGAGGTGCTACTGCTATGATGCAGAGGGCTTATGGCATCTCCTAGTAATTAACATGATGAAACAGTTACTCCAAAAAGAGTATTCATGGTTTTGACCATTTGCGAGTACCTGTATTGTATTTTGGAAACCTAACCTCCGTAAAAATTCATAGCTGTGCAAATTTTTCCAGGGATAAGAGAATTCATTCGTCTCAATCCCCGCAAACACACTGCACCTGCTGTTCTGGCTGATGGGGATAGTACTGCATTACTTTTACCATATTCTAGAGAATATATACCTCTGGTCTTTTCATACACACATTTTATAACCCCAAACACATGATGATAGTCAGGGAAAAACAACAACTCTGAAGTAAACCTTAAGTTCCTTACCCTCATATTCCTGAGTTCTTTCGCAAGTTTACGTTGTTTGTCAGGTCTTAATGTTGAATTAAAATCATGGGGCTGGAAATTCAATGCTTCTTTCATGTATTCCAAAACACTCTGGTCCTTGTAAAAAGCTGTATGAGCAACTGAAATACAAAAATAAATAAGTCATGAATATTCTCAACATTTTTGCATCACAGCCATAGTATAACACTATCAACTAATTTCCTATAAATCACTACATATGCCTCATTTGATTCATTTAAATATCTTTATATGTATTTCAGTAAAGCTATTATCTTTTAGTCTCCATTATTTCATATTTAGACAAATACACAGATATTGGGTACATTTTCAATTGCCCAGCTGGAAGTAAGTTAAGATCTCAATATTCTGAAGCTGTACACATTTCTTCATTGTCATAATACTGTACAGTAGAAGTCCAAAAAGCCGGACTGCTTGGAGATTGGGTCGGTCCGAATTTTCGGATTTTCCGGATTCTCAGGCAGTACCTGTACAGTCGGCCCTTAACATACGCGGGTTTAGCATGCACGGATATGCAAATACACGGAATGCCCCGCCGGAGGAATATTCTGTACATTGAAGTACATTCAAATCGCGCGCCATTCAACTCGCACGCGGCACCGAACACGGGACACCGCCCGCTTCCGCAACCTCACACACACACGCATAGCTCTCCCTCACTCAGTCAGTCTCGCTGTAACCATGCTTGTGTTGACATCAGCATTGTAGTTACAAAAATATTACATTTCCGAGAATGTATTATATCAAGCACAGTATGAATAGAATATCACTAATATAACAGTATTTTAATCGAAAACTATTAAAAAAACGAATAACATATCTTGAACATCGGAAGGTTAGGTAAAGTCTTTTGTTTTCATGTAGTTTATCCTAATTTACATTGAAATACATTACGTTTCAGCAAAACTATTATTTATTTCTGAGAATATGGAAATGTAATGTTTTTGCTGAAATGACGTACGTATTACAGTGGAAAGCGACGAAAGCAATGACTTTCGCTTTCTTTCGTTCAAAAGATGTTACCGTAATCACTTTTCGAATGGTTTTCAGTTGTGGGATTATGAGGCTAATGATAGGATAGAATATTATTGTAATACAGTACAGTTCAACAGTTTTTTAACTGAAAACCATTCGAAAAGCAATTACGGTAAAATCTTTTGAACAACGAAAGAAAGCGAAAGTCATTGTTTTTGTCATGATTTTATCCCACTTTCCACTGTAATATGTACGTCATTTCAGCCAAAATATTACATTTCCATATTTATTTCTGAGAATATATTCATTCAGTCACAGTTAAGGTAAAATATACTTGTGATGTAATATTTTAATGAAAATATGGTATCACAGTTTTCTTTTGTTTCAAATTTAATTAACAAAGATTGATGTTTCAAATGTAATGAACAAAAATTTATGTACAGTAACTATAAATAAACTATAAAAAATGAATACTTTGTTTTACATCGTCCTGTGCATACCATACCATGCATTTGGCTACTTTGGGCTTGCTATGATGAAGCAAGAGATCTGCCCTGGCAACTGTACCGACACTCACAGCTGGTGGTGCATTGGTGCGTCGTTTCCATTGTTTACTGGTAGTTACTGGTAAATATTTCTCAACCTAACGAAACTATTACCGGTTTAGAGGTCGACCCCCAATTTTTTGCCAAATAATTTGGTCTTAAATACTCGAACTACACACAGGTATATACGGTAAATAAGGACATGGGGGGGGGCCAGCAAAAGTACACAGATTTTTAACATTCACGGGTATCTCTGTTACCTAACCCCCGCATATGTTAAGGGCCGACTGTACATTTAAAATTCAAATTTAAAGAGGAATAAAGAAGAGATGAACAGGTACATTTCGATAGTTTATTCATTAGCAAATATAACATGCTCCATTTATCAAAACGAGCAGTTTTAAAGAAAAAGCTGTGAATTCTAGAATTTTATTCTTTGCCTTTTTTATATCATAAATTGTAGACATTCCAATGTTGTATGTTTCCATTAGAACAGTATTGCTCACACCACGTTCTAGTTTCTTAATTGTTTCAAGTTTGTCACTCAATTTCAACTTGTTTTTCTTTCTCTTCACACAACGAAGTTTATCTACTTTAGGAGCCATTATTGTGGGCTTGTACAATACTCTGTAAATGGGAATAGGACTCAAAATTACATACGTTGTCACAGTTTGATTGCTCATTTTAAAGTGGCGACCGCGTGGTCGCTTGTTGTCGCTGTGCAGCTGTGGCGCTCAAGCAAGCGCACATACACACAAAAGCCCACTAAATTAAAAAAAAAAAAAAAGTGAGTTTTCGAAAAGTCAGGATTCTCGGGTGATCCGGAGTTCTGGCATCCGGATTTTTGGACTTTTACTGTATGTCTATTAATGTGCACACTATCATACATTAATTTGTTTGTCTTTATTGAATGTTTTTCATGTTGAAATTTCTATCTAAATTTCATCCCTTGCCTTGAAGGTGATGTTAGGATTGCATTTCCCTCATTCCATTAATTCTTATGGGAAAAAATTGCTTTAATATACTGCATTTCAATAACTGTCACACTTTTCAGGAACATATTCCTAATTTCAGCTGGGTTATTACTGTATCTCTTATGTATGTAAAATTTAATAATTCCTTTTCTACAGTATGTGAACCGACTGGGATCCAATACCCATGGGTATTGGGTAATGGCAAATATAGCACAAGATATTACCTTGTATCTACAGTATGCACAATTCTGTATTTCCTTACTTACAGTTTATCCCCCATACAATGACAATTATGCAGTATTGTTCAGTTCTGTATTATCCAACCTGGTAATATTCTGTGTAACAAGGAAGCACTGTTCTGTATCACAACAATAATAATGGGTCACACGGTTTTGTGAGTCAAGTTTGATTAGTGTTACAAAGGAAGAACTAATAACTAGTATACAGGACACACCATACCTGATATTTCAGATTCAAGGTCACCAAGTCGCCTATAGAGTAAAGCCTCGAATAACAACGGTAATGTGTCATCTAACATTGCAGTGTAAGATGAATCGTCGTATCGTGAAGCATTAATTACCATTAAAATATAGCAATAATAATGAGATGCATTCCCTATTGTGATCTTTTCATATCTTTTGTGTGGCTTTTTACCTCTTCCTCCCCCCCCCAAACAATAAAATTAATACAAAAATAAACTAATTTAAATAATGTTTATGAATGTACTTTATACAATATAAATCAATAATAATATGACCAAACAAGAGGAAATGGGACGCCATTGTTGTTGTCAATGCTTACACCCATAATGACAGTTCTCCATTTGAAACTGAAGAATGTAAGACCCTAGTTGTTGCTGTAGTAATATTAATGAAAACAAAAAATATGCATGTATTAATGTTATTTAATGTACAGTAGAAACCACTGATGGTATACAAAAAAAATGCGAGAGACTGATATCGAAGGCCAACGATGTACTCTATGTACGCACTCAGGAAACATAGTGTCATTTTCTTATTTAGAATACCCTGTATTTACAAGATTCATTATTGTTTACTTCTGAATATCTATTTGATTGAATCCATGTTTATGTATGCAAAATGAACAATATAATTTATTAACAATACATAGAATATTAAAACACACAAGAGGAGACAAGATGCATTGTTTTTGTTAATGTTTACACCCAAGACGATGTTCTCCATATGAAACTGAAGAAAAGAAAATCCTGCTAAGGTGCTCCATTGTTTCCCTTTTCCTGTGTGGTTTTATCGAGATTTATATTGTCCATGTTTCCATTGTGGATGGATATATACAGTTGTAACCCGCTTAACGGGTCAATTGAACCCAGGGTACGTTAAGTGAAAACCGCTTAAGTGAACAACAGAACATATGGGATGAATTCCAATAGACTGGCCCGACCCCAAACTCCACTTTCTGACGACACTATATGTTAGTAAAAATATTATCTTAACTTTATGATGGTATGCACACACAATTAATAATTAAGAAATATCAATAATATTAGGTTTTTAACACTTACATTAGTAGAAAAGAGGCAGGGATGGGAAGTTGGTTCGAGGCAGAGGGCAGATTATTGGCCCTCACCTGTATCACTTGTATCACTATCCACAGAGGCTTGCAGGGCCTCTTTGTCAAACCCTCAAAGTCCATATAAGTCCATATCCTCACTATAATTATCACTATCACTGACTTGGGCCAGCTGTGGTGGGTGGTGAAGAACTATAATGTTTTGATGACTATTGTATATATATATATATTATACATATATATATATATATATATATATATATATATATATATATATATATATATATATATATATATATATATATATATATATATATATATATATATATTTATATATTTATATATATATATATATATATACATATATATATATATATATATATTTATTTTATTTTATTTTATTTTTTTTACATATTGGGATTTAGTTATTATTTAACTGGAAATGTAATTTTATTTTACTTTTTATTTTATTTTTGTCGTACATATGAATAAAATAAGGGAGTAAATTGAATCGGCTCCTAAATTAACCAGGGTTTTAAATATGAATCGTCGTTAGTAGAACTGTCGTTATTCGAGGCTTTCCTATACCAATGTCATACGTCCTAGACAACCCTGATAATTGACAAGTTTTCCTCATTGTTGGCCCCAAGGATACATAAACTTGAAGCAGTTTTATTAATATGAATGCAATGGCATAACAAGTCAACTATGGCATTAAACTTTGTTCACAAATGCATAATTAAAAGTTTTGTGAGAAGTGTGAAAACACTTGGAGTGTCACATGACAACATAAAATAATTATGTTTACTCTGCTATGACTACCAATACCCATTTGGAATGTGTTTACAATTACAAATTTTCTGTAATTTAGCAGCTGGCACCTTTACTGTATAAATTTCAATTCAACTTGGCTTTTTGGGAAAGGGAATGCCTTTAGATACAAGGTTACCCCCCCCCCTAACCCCTCTCTTAACAGTAATGTAAAATTACAAACAATACAGCCTCTGAGATATGTCTTATGGTAATTTCATTACTTTTTCAGAAATACTTACCATCAATATTGAGTAAAATACATCCATCTTTCCAAGCAGCAGGTCTCAGAGAGCCAAAGAATCCCATCAGAGCTTCCTTGCCACCACCAATGTCAAATGAAGGACCAAACTCTCCTCCCATGGGATAAAAGCAGTTGCGACCAACTCGCTGATACCTCAGGCTGGGGTTATGTTGAAACATTACCTCAATCATCTGCAGACACATATTTATAAAACTTTTTAATAATTGCATAGTTTGCCTCACTGAATTTTCATACAATATAAAAAACTATTTCTAAAAGTATAGTACGTACCTATACACCCATTACAGCACTTATTTTAAACCTTACACTTACAAAACTTTAGTTATGTCTCTCAGGATTCATCAAATACAGTACCTGTTGAAACGGTAAGACATTTGAAGATCATAAAATCCGCAATATCCAATAATCTGGTTCAGTCTCAGTTCCATGGTTGCCGGATTCTGACCACTGAACCAATATCATGAAAATTGGAAACCTTATTATATACGAGAAAACTGTGGCTGAGGAGGGAATACTGTTATAAAATGTAACTGTGTGTACTAACCTCCATAGTCCAGCAACGTCATTTGTTTGATTGCTTTGATCGTTTGTTAATTTGTTTACCCTTAAAACCCAGATGACGTTCCTGGACATTTGCCTAAGCGACCCGATGAAGTTCCTGAACGCCTGAACATTCTTAATTTTCGTGACATGCTTTGAATGTCCAGGTGGGAGGATATATACTTTGTATGGGATATTTGTGTAATTGGTAACTCAACTCGCGTGTATTTGTCTCAAGACTCGTGCCTCATAGTCAATTACCCGCCAGATATTGTGAGGGATGAACGCCCTTAGACAGAGTTGTAAAAAGTACCTGTACCAGACTTTGTTACTTAAGTAATACTATTGTTACATTGGCAAAATGTTACTCAAGTTGAAGTAAAAGCATCCAAAGTTCAATGTACTCTTGTAAAAGTAAAAAAGTATCCAATTCATAAAATACTCAAGTACCTGTAGTAGTAAACCCTCGATAGCTCGGCATTTGATAACTCGGAAAGTATTACAGTATAACTTAGGAAGTGCCGAGATATATACGAGTAAAATTATCTGGAAAAATCTCGGCATATCTGGCCACCTGTGTCCCCTACCATGCCTCTGTCACAGACCATGCATCTGTGTCACCCACTATGATGTTTCATTCTTCACCTGCAGTGCTGGTAAGTGTTACTTTTTTACACTTAGTAATTACATGTACACATACAGTGTATGGGTCATTAATTTTTTTTATGGGGAAGTGCCTCGATGAGTCAGAATTTGCGATAACTCGGCAAGGCCAGAGCCCAATATATGCGGAGTTATTGAGAGTTTTCTGTAATGATAAGGTTTTTACTGCCTAAATATTCCTACAGTATTTTAGTTTTTTTAAGGAAAATAGAAATATTTTGTTTTGAAATAGCTATAGGATAGAAATGTGATACAAAAGGGCCTTCAAGTAAGAACTGTATGTTGCAAGTGTGTGTCAAATTCACTTCCCACTCACTGTGAGCTGTAGCTTCAAACAAGATCATCTTTCATCACTCCTGACAACTCTCCAACTATGAAAGTTGAATTTAAGTTCATAATCCTGGTATTTTTCTTATATTGATTAACCCTTTCATATGATGACAATGGAATAAAAAGAATGCGTTTTTTTAACGAAATATGCCCATGTGGGGGTTCAACGGGTCTTACAATGCCCGGGGTCTAAAGGTTAAACAACACACTTTGGAAAACTAATTACTGAAGAGTTCAATTTCCTAAATTTATTTTTTCCACCATTTTCTGCTTACTAACTGCTCAGGCACTCAGTCTGTTCTTTGTTATAACCTTCAATGACCAGTGTTAGGTGTTAGTGCAAGAGAATACTACACAGGAAAAACCTGCTATGTTTGATAAAGTCACATTGGGTAACACCCTTCTCACATCCAAAACAGGGATTGTACCCACGAGACAATGGTGAGTGGCAAGCACAGCATTGCTGTTTATTGCTGAACAGAATAAATAATAAGAGGAGCAAAGAAATTAAAACAAATACATATAAATGTTGTAGGTATAGTGAGCAATTGACCATTGTTTTATTAAACTGGCAACTCACTCAGGTGAGAGACTGCATCATCATCAACAAGGCAAACAGCCCAATAAGTTACAGTATTACTCAATGCATGGCACTTCAAGGCTTGAAGATATTTGGTTCAGTAATTCATCGCAGTTAATCTCAATTTTCTTACAAAAAATGAACATGATTCAGTACTTGTTATGACTTAGAAACAAAAATGAATCTGCTAAAATAATGCAGAAAGAAAGTAAACATACACCAAGTAAAGACAGGAATAAGAAGTACATTTGTCCATTTTCACTAAAAGCTCAATAATTCTTAAGGCCGTAATATGTCATAATTCAGTTACTTTTAGAAATTCCAAAACTTATTTCAACCTTTTCTAAATCTTGGCAAATAACTTTGTCCCTTAGCTCAGGACTAATGGAGTCAGTATCCATCAGTTAGCATTCCTTAAAGCCTCACCAAAACTGCAGTATTGTACCTTATTAGCTGAATTAAGTTAAAGGTATCCCTCGTTTAATGAACATTTGATACAAAAATTCGCTTAAACAAATTTCCGAAATTAACACCTCTTTTTCATTTAACAAAAGCTTCTCCTCGCTTGTAAGAATTTGGGTTCCAGCAAATACTATATTGCATTCAAATCGCACTACCCCAGAGAGATGGGCAGATGTATTCTAACTCAATGATCTCAGCAAAAATCCCCCTCCCTCCCACATTCCCCCCAGCCCACATCTTTCGTTCTGCCATTCCCCACCCTTTGTGGTGGGCCCTGACTGCCCTCCCTTTAAGTAATCGCTCCATAAAATTGCGAGATATTTACCAATTTTGATGATCACGGACTCCCTTTGAAGCAGTTTGTGCAGATTAGAAGTGCCTGGACTAAGGGCCAGGCATGTGATTTTTCATGTCCATGTACCAAATACTTGCTTAGCAAAGAAGTTAATATTTTGAGAGGTAAATACCGAGGGAATTTATCAGGTGCTGTGTGACCCTCACCGTACATGTTTAACCAGGAAGTTCCATCAAAAGGCCACTTGTCATCAGTGTATGGGTAACCCCCATGATATGATATCCCGAGATGGGGTATTTCACTTTAACAATGGTTATAAATTAACACCATCTCCGTACATACAGTATGATCAAAACAACTCGCTTTAACGATATCAATCAATTAACCATCAATATCCATACTGATAGGAAGAAAATTTGGTTCTCTTGTGCGAACTTTGGGTTGTTTATACAGTACTCAAATTAATCGCCGCCTTGCAAAGATTCCAGCAAAGCAGTTAAATTTTTCTACGATAAGATGGTGACATTTTAAAGGGAAACAATATTTAACCCTATGAACCACGCTTCTCTACCTTCACTTGTCAACCTACCCACGCACCATTACACACGGCCAACCCGCGCACTACAGTCCTGTGTCTGATTCTATGTTGATCGCAAAACCCGCCATCGCAATGCTTCCAAGCTCTCACATATGACCCTTTGAAAACACTGAAAAATTATCAGGTAATAAAGACAAGCCTGCTAAATGTGGACCATGTATAGTACTATGATAGAACATGAATAAACCTTTAAAGTCCATACAGTACATATTTCTGGGACCACGGTGAATTTGTCACTCTTGCACAGAATGCCCCTTATCTATCATTAAGTACATTTATCTACCAAATAATAAATGTTAAAAATTTAGTAATAGAATTAAGGCATTCTTACCTGGAATATGAATTGTGGCACATCTTCTCTCTTCTCAGGTGGTTTTCTTATAGCTACAAAAAGGTCTTTTAAGTACCCTTCATTCACCTTTGTAAGTGTTACGAAGAACTTCGTTGTTCTGTCACCTTCCTCCTTAAAGTTAACCTGGAAAAAAACAGAGAAAAAAGTTCACCTTGCTGAAACAATATAATGTATTACAATGATTTCTTATCAAAAGAAAGTACAGGAGGATCCCGACTTACAAATGTCCTATATCAACGGGGTTAAACTTGAAATTTACAGCACAATATTTCATTTACCTGCAGATTTGTTTTTTACTTTCATTTATTGTATTTTATCATTATATTTCTTCCTTTGTTTTATATTAAGTGATTTTAGATGTATATAAGGACTTAGGCTATGATATAGTGGGATTTTAAACATTGTTTTGGAGGTATGGTATGCACATAGCACGTGTTATGACTTACGTACCAATCCAACTTACGAACTTCCTCAGGAAAAGAACCGACTTGTAACCCAGGGACCCCTGTACTTATGTGCATATACAGTCTGCGCGGAATGGTAAGTCGCGATAGGGCCGACGAACTAAGTTCTCGCAATAATAAGATCGTATGTTGTGAAGCCTGTCCTGGGATGGGAGATGTCAAAACGCTTGGTTTGTTGGCAAGTGCTGACATTTGGCAACTGAGAACACGTCACGGCTTGTAGTCAGTGCGCCTCTGGCAGCTGTGAGGGGAATATTTATTGTGCGGGTTCCCGTGCCATGTGGCCATGTTTTGTCTAGTTTAAGGTGCATTAACCCGACATAGTGGCCATCAAAGATATCCAGGAGGGTTATATAAGAGACAATATTGCAGCAGTGATTGCATTGTGCAAAGCGAACCATGTACTGAGAGAAATATCGGCTCAAACTGGTGTGGCATTACGAGTTGTTCAAAATCTTGTCAAACGTTTCCATGAACCTTGGAGAGGACGAGTTACCAGCTCCATTACCTAAGTCTGGTAGGCCTAAATTATTGTCTCCACGGACACTTAAGGTTATTTCTCGACAAGTTCGGTCCAATCCCTCACTCACAGCACGTGAAGTGAAAGAGGGAACCCCCCGTCTTTTGAGTCACGTCTCGTTACGTTGTGTTCAACAAGCCCTGCACGATGACCTGGGATTTAAGAGCTTTCGTGCCCGCCGTAAACCTCTGTTGACAAAGAGACAGAAGGAAAATAGAGTGAAATTTTGCAAGAAATATGAAGTGTGGGATTTTGAGACATGGAGGAGTGTATTATGGTCAGATGAGGCTACGTTTTCTGTGACTGGGAGTAATGGAGGGAGGGTGTACCCCCCCCCCACTCAGAGGCGCACCTCCCACAGTACACTGTAAAGACTGTTAAGCACCCTGCCTCGCTTATGGTTTGGGCTTCCTTTACGTATTATGGTGTTGGTGAACTAGTAATCCTCCCTAAGAACCAGATAATGAATCAGTACAACTATCTTGAACTGCTCAGTGATTTCTTACCTGAATCATTTGATAAAGCTAAGGCAAGCCTTTTCATGCAGGACGGTGCCCCATGCCACACTGCTAAAAGTGTCATACAGTGGCTCAAAGACTGTGAGGTACCGGTACCTTTCTTTAATGACTGGCCTGGCAGTAGCCCAGATCTTAACCCAATAGAAAATTTGTGGTCTATTGTTAAGCGTCGTCTGTGCGACGCTGACACATCATCAATCCCGAAGCTAGAGGCAGCCATCAAGGATACCTGGGCTAACTTGCCACCTGACCTCTTGCAAAACCTTGCTGACAGTGTTCCTCGAAGGCTAAAAGACTGTCTGAAGCGCAGAGGAAACACTACAAAGTATTAATTGAAGTGGTAAGTGTTACTTGACTTTATTTATATAACATAATCGTAAATATCAATATTTTTTCAGCACACTATCTAACATTCTGCGCAGACTGTAACTGTAACAGAAGTAGCACACATCACAAGGTTTTAGGAATGAAACCTTTGCAGAAAACAAAGGTTACCTGAGCTAAAAATAAATATTTCATTCACACATTGCATTTGGAGAATCAGTGCAGTAGTGTAAAAGGTGTTGCAGTGTTAAAAGTGCAATGATGAGTAAGTAGCAGTAAAGGAGTGTGTTATGCGTGCCATTGTGGGAGGTTGTGTAAGTGATGTGTGAGCAGCAGTAAAAGAGTGTGTTATGGGTGCCACTGTGGGAGGTTGTGTAAGTGATGTGTGAGCAGCAGTAAAAGAGTGTGTTATGGGTGCCACTGTGGGAGGTTGTGTAAGTGATGTGTGAGCAGCAGTAAAAGAGTGTGTTATGAGCTGGCTTCCCTAGATCTGTGATTCATCCACCTGGCCTTATTTTCTCTTCTCTTTGTTTTCCAGGGTATACATTCCTCTCCTGTTAACTCAAGGATTTCCATGAAGTTTTGCATTGATTCATCTGTGCGTGACTCTTCTTTAACGATTTCCTCCAATTTAATTCTCTTTAGTTTGTCTCTCATGAGCTGGTAATCTCATGGTTGAGGTCAGAGTGTTCCTCCTCAACTTCTTTCTATCAACTGTTAAAGTTTGTATTCCATCTTCGTATGTACAGTAGTGGTCGCTGGTTGGAGTTAGTTTTGCCGACATGATACCATTGTAATTCTGGTTACCAAAGCTGCAGACAGCATAATAGGAAAAAAATGACAAGAGAAAAGACAATTAAGCAAACCATCATTCTATTATAGGTACTTGTAAACAGAATAAATTTCTACTAAAATTTACTTACTTCGTATTCAATTCCACCTTTCTTCTTGGTTTGAGGGATGGCATTAACACTGTAGGCATTCTTTTCTGAGTCAAATGCTACACGGAAATTTTGGAAAACTTGGGGATAGGTCTTCTTCAGATCCTCAAAAACTGCCCTGTCATAAAAAAGAATCAGAATGCATTTAACTAACTTCATATTGAAACATCTAAAAGACAGAGATGGATTATCCTCCCCCACACACAAAAATAAATAAAACTGGTCACCAAATCTCAATTTTACATCTGGTTCAGAAATGAAAATATGTGTATTTAGCAAATTTACATAACTTGAGTATGAATCAACACTTAGTTTTATTGTATCACATATATACTTTTTACTTTTACTTTTATCCTCTTCGCCACTGATCGGCTTGTTAGCCGCTTGGGCGATCGGTCACGTCTCTTTTCATTTATATTCTTCACCAAAAGATCGGCTCGTTAGCCGCCCGGGCGATCGGTCACGTCTCTGTCACGCACTGTTGGCAAATACTGGGCATGCACCGGCTCCTAAATGTACCTGAACCCGCTCCAGTGTTGGTCAAGTCTTGTCTTGAAAGAGCTCACACTCGGTGCCGTCACAACACTCTCTGGTAGAATGTTCCAAGAGTTTACAACCCTCACTCCGAAAAAGTTTGCCCTCATGGTTTTCTGGACTTGCGGCTTCTTCAATCTTGAGCTGTGACCCCTTGTGGGGCGAGCGTCCGCCAGCTCCAAGTAAGGACACACTCAACTGAGTAGTGCCCCTTGAGATGCTTATACACCTCAACTAGGTCCCCCCTTGCCCGTCTGTAGTATAAGCTAGGCAAGTTCAGGCACTCCAATCTCTCAGGGTAGCTGAGGTGCCGAAGTGCAGGCACCAGTCTGGTGGCCCTCCTTTAAACATTTTCAACCAACTGACAGTCCCAAGCATATCTCGGGGACCAGATGGGGTGACAGTACTCCAGATGGGGAAGCAATCACTCCTGAAGATCGTTACGAGGGACGGACCGTCTATATATCTGAACGACCTTCTTATAAGACCCAATAATTTATTTGCCCGATTTACCTTCTTCTCACAATGGCCCGAGAACTTCAGCTCATTGTCAACATACACACCTAGGTCCTTCTCACAGACAGTCTCAACTAGTGCAGTTTCTTCATCCCGTTGGGACATATGATACGCCTCCTTACCGTTGGTACGCCCCAGGTGCATCCTCTTACACTTCGTGATATTGAATCTCAGCAGCCATTTCTTCGACCATTCCTGGAGCCCACAGAAGTCCTTCTGCAGCTCTTCACAGTCCGCTTGGTTCTTAATTTCCCAAAATAACTTGGCGTCATCGGCAAACATTTGTATGGAGGAGTGTACAACGTCAGGCATGTCATTTATGAAACAAACAAACAACAGCGGGCCCAATACACTGCCCTGTGGTACCCCACTTGTTACAGGTACAGATGACGATTTCGTGCCATTAATCACCACACACTGCTTGCGGTCATGTAGAAAATCTTCTATCCACGCTAGGACATTTCCCCGAATTCCGTACCCTTCCAGTTTGATTTTCAGCCTTTCGTGGGGTACACTGTCGAAAGCCTTGGCAAAATCTAGGTAAATATTGTCGATATTACCACCCCATTCCAGAATATGGGTCCAAATATCCAATACCTTGAGCAATTGTGTTAAGCAAGAGCGCCCCGGCATAAAACCGTGTTGGCAATCTTTTACAAGGTTGTTTCGTAGTAGATGTTCCATCGCGGCATCTCTGATAATACTCTCAAGTACTTTACATATTATGCTGGTCAGGCTCACCGGTCTATAGTTGTTCGTGGAGTGACGATCGCCCTTCTTGAAGATAGGACTCGCATAAGCCACTTTCCATTCACTGGGGACCATTTGTTCATCCAGACATTTACAAAACAGGATCTTCAGGGGCTCTGCAAGCTCGTTGCACAGCTCTCTTAGCACTCTAGGATGCACCATGTCAGGTCCGGGACTCTTATGGACCTTTAGCCTGGACAGTTTATTTCTCATACCCTCTTCTGTGAACACAATGTGGGTCAGTGCTGTGTCGAACCGTCTGTCCTCAAACGCAGGAAGGTTAGTTCATCCTCTCTTGTGAACACTGAGGAAAAGAAGCTGTTCAATGCCTCAGCATTATCCTGGTCAGAATCTGCGTAACTGCCATTCTTCAAGCCTCAGGTCTGATACTCCTACTCGCGTTTTCAATATCGACTTTGCATAGCGGTAAAACGCCTTTGGGTTTGACTTGACCTCGCTTGCAACCAGCCTCTGGAACTCCTTTTCAGCCCTCCTGCACTCTATCTTTGCTTGGTTTCTGGCTCTTGCATACATCCTCCTGTCTTGCTCATCGTTTGACCCAACCCACGTCTTGAATTTCTGGGTTTTCTTCTTAATTTTGTCAACCGCCGCATGGTTCATGTGTAGTGATCCCCTCGTATTCCTAGAAGCACTGGGTTTGGTCTTGGGTATACAGTCTGCGCGGAATGTTAAGTCGCAATAGGGCCAACGAACTAAGTTCTCGCAAAAATAAGATCATATATTGTGAAGCCTGTCCTGGGATGCGAGATGTCAAAACGCTTGGTTTGTTGGCAAGTGCTGACATTTGGCAACTGAGAACACGTCACGGCTTGTAGTCAGTGCGCCTCTGGCAGCAGTGAGGGGAAGATTTTTTATGCGGGTTCCCGCGCCATGTGGCCATGTTTTGTCTAGTTTAAGGTGCATTAACCCGACATAGTGGCCATCAGAGATGTCCAGGAGGGTTATATAAGAGACAATATTGCAGCAGTGATTGCATTGTACAAAGCGAACCATTTAATGAGAGAAATATCGGCTCAGACTGGTGTGGCATTACGAGTTGTTCAAAATCTTGTCAAACGTTTCCGAGTTACCAGCTCCATTACCTAAGTCTGGTAGGCCTAAATTATTGTCTCCACGGACACTTAAGGTTATTTCTCGACAAGTTCGGTCCAATCCCTCACTCACAGCACGTGAAGTGAAAGAGAGAAACCCCCGTCTTTTGAGTCACGTCTCGTTACGTTGTGTTCAACAAGCCCTGCACAATGACCTGGGATTTAAGAGCTTTCGTGCCCGCCGTAAACCTCTGTTGACAAAGAGACAGAAGGAAAATAGAGTGAAATTTTGCAAGAAATATGAAGTGTGGGATTTAGAGACATGGAGGAGTGTATTATGGTCGGATGAGGCTACGTTTTCTGTGACTGGGAGTAATGGAGGGAGGGTGTACCGCCCCCCCCCACTCAGACGCGCACCTCCCACAGTACACTGTGAAGACTGTTAAGCACCCTGCCTCGCTTATGGTTTGGGCTTCCTTTACGTATTATGGTGTTGGTGAACTAGTAATCCTCCCTAAGAACCAGATGATGAATCAGTACAACTATCTTGAACTGCTCAGTGATTTCTTACCTGAATCATTTGATAAAGCTAAGGCAAGCCTTTTCATGCAGGACGGTGCCCCATGCCACACTGCTAAAAGTGTCATACAGTGGCTCAAAGACTGTGAGGTACCTTTCTTTAATGACTGGCCTGGCAGTAGCCCAGATCTTAACCCAATAGAAAATTTGTGGTCCATTGTTAAGCGTCGTCTGCGCGACGCTGACACATCATCAATCCCGAAGCTAGAGGCAGTCATCAAGGATACCTGGGCTAACTTGCCACCTGACCTCTTGCAAAACCTTGCTGACAGTGTTCCTCGAAGGCTAAAAGAGTGTCTGAAGCGCAGAGGAAACACTACAAAGTATTAATTGAAGTGGTAAGTGTTACTTGACTTTATTTATATAACATAATCGTAAATATCAATATTTTTTCAGCACACGATCTAACATTCCGCGCAGACTGTATATTTATCGATCAAATGGGTCATTTTACTAGTTATGATATTCAGCGTAGTGTCTGCGTTCTTGTACCTTAATAAGTCAGGCCAGTTGATACCCCTCATCTCTTCCCTCATCCCATAGTAATTTCCCTTGTAATATTTGCACCTTGGCCTGGCCTTATCTTGAACTAGGTAACAGTTAAATCTGAATGACAACACTGTATGGTGACTGGTGCCAACTGGGGCAAGGTGTTCCAGTTTGGCCACCATTCCCTCCTTGTTTGTTATGATGAGGTCAAGTGGCTTGGGTGTTTGCTCCCCTCTGTAATGTGTCGGGCCTCTAACATGTTGGAACAGAAAATTATCTCTTAGAGTTTCTACGAAAAGAGTAGCAGGGTTATTCAAGTCATTCGGGGTGGACTTGTTTCTCCAGTCGACGTCGCCAAAGTTAAAGTCCCCCATGATAAGGAGGTGGCTAGGGTTGAGCATCGCCGCGTTGTTTATTAAGGTTCTTAAGTTCCTTTGATTTAGTGGGCCACAGTTTGGGGGTCTGTAGATACACCCGACGATAAGTAAGTCCCCTCCCTTTAATTTAATTTTACACCACTTGGACTCTTCAAAAACATCCTCTCCCTGTACCCTCGCCTGGCTGGCTCTAAGGTCTTGCCTAGCGAAGATAACCACACCCCTTTTGCAAGTTTCTTGAGAAAGGTTCGTAAATGAGTCATATTCAGCAATACTGAACTCACATTTCTCTGGGTCGATTCTCCTGTTCTTGTACAACAGTTCTACAACTCCTACAATATCTGGTTGGTGTACTCTTAGTAGTGTTTCAAACTCCTCTCTCTTTTCAAGGAACGTGTCAGTATTAGTGTACATGACATTCAAGCCAGAATTTGTTCTCGGTAACGTCTCTGCTCTTAGCAATAAACCCGCTCTCCCCACATTCTCAGAAGCTGCAGCATTTACTAAGTACACTGTATTTTGCAGGGTGTGGTTAGAAATGTCATTGTTTACACGGCGCTCGTTCCCTCCTGGCCGGTAGGCTGAGCTGGTGCCTCCTCTCGGGTGGGGGGTTGAGTGGGTGGAGGGTGCACTGCTGCCCCCTGGCCCTGTGTCGGCACACTTGTTTCCACTACCCTCCCCCTGAGTATAACCCATGTACACCTGTCCCCGTTCCTCCTCGACTCCTTCCTCTTCTGCTTCAAGTCCTGCAGGAGCTTCTTGTGCTGTTCCCTCTGCATTCCCGTGCGGTCTGGGTGAATGAATACATCCCGAAATGCCTCGCTCCTTGCTAAGTTTTTTGCCTGCCGAATAACTTGCCATTTCTCCTCCTCACTCACTAGTGTGATCCTGAGGGGGCAAGGCTTAACCCCCTGCTTTTGTCCCAGCCTCCTCACATCCTGAGGGGTTGATGGAATCTTCAGAACCTCTGTGCAAATATTTTGAAACAGCACCTTATCGTGTGTTTCCTTACTCACAGTTCCTTCCGCCTGGCTCTCTGGGACTCCAAAAACAATTACATTGTTCCTGCGCTGGAGCCGTTCCTGGTGTTCCTCCTCTCCCCTAACAGTAGGTCCGTTAATTTTCATTTCTTCGACACACTCTTTCAAAGTCCCGAGCTGCTGTAGAACCTGTACTGATCCTGCATTACTCTCCGCCCCCTCCTGTGGCCCTCCTAATACGTCAGCATAACTCCTCTTAGCAATCACCTCCATTCTATCTGCTACTTCCTCAGTCTTAGCAAGGATCTCTTTCCCAACTTGCTCCAGTTTGTCAACCAGCAGGGCTCCAGCTTCATCTATTTTCGTCCTGAGAGAACTCGTTCCCTTATGGCTTGCAATCGCTTCATTCACCTTGACTATGCGACCAGAGCAATACCAGCAACAGCCATCATGCTTTACGGCAGTTAGTAACTTCCTAAGCGTTGCATTAGTCAGGCCTATATCCTCCATATCCGACGTCTCCCTGCAGTAATCACATATCAAACTCATGGTTGTTGTTGTTGTTGTGGGGGGGGGGGTGCAGACTGTGTATAGATCTACACCTATTTAAAAAAGTAAAGAGAGAAAAAGTACTGAGCTACTCTCTGTTGCCTATAGAGTTGTCGTCTGTGACTGCGTACACTGTATCTCCCTGTGAGTGGTGTATAGTAGACACAGTTTCAGTCCTTGAGAAAGCACACAAACAAAATAAAATTTAAAGTCTCTGTGGCACCTATGACACGAATAGGCTGGCAATTGTCCTCACCAGCTTGATTGCCAATATGTATTCACTTTAAGTTATTTACAGTCTCTTCTGCAGTCACTGATGACACTATGAACTGATTTAACTAAAGGCACTCCCTGGTTGGCCTTTATCACAGCCGTGACCACAACACCTTAAAAAAATAAAATAAAATAAAAGCTTTGTCATGTGGCAGTGATTGTGTGGTTATAGGCCTGTGACCCTGGCTGTACCTCCAACTCGGTGGAAATTGAGTTTTCAAAAATACAATCGCGTCTAGCATTAAAAGTCCTACATCGATTTTTACACAGGGGCCCCCCCACCCCAAGTTCGCGGATTTTTATTTTGTGCTGCTCTATTATTCGCGGATGACACCCTGGATGTACCCAAAAATGTCTGTGGATAGTTTTAAAGTTGCCGGCATTTTTGCAGCCGAGACAGTAATTTCCTTTGCCTGTATTGTAAATATGTGTGTGTGTGTAAACATACACACACACACAAAACACATACAAATAAATAAGAATTGGAAAATCCTCTCACAAATAATCAGAAACAAATTTATTAAAAATGTGAGTCTACCCTAAAGTCCGTGCTTTATTACTTTATCAGCCAATATTTCTCAGTTTTCCTAAACCTTGCACAATGTACTTGTTTTTAAAGCATGACCATACTCATTTCTGAAATATGAAGGGTTAACAGACAGTAGATATACTGTACAGTATATCTTTCATTGTCAATATGTAAAATAAATTTCAAAATGACCAATAATTTGCTTGCAAACACAGAAAAAAGCGTTTAGTTGAAGAGAGTCTCAAGCAAGATGTTACCTCCACTGAAAAGACACAAAGACTGACGCCTGTTTGGTGTGTTGGCAGGCTGGATGGCGTGCCACAAACTAGTAACCCTACCTTCAATTATGTTCAAAAATTTTTAAAATGACTAAAAAATTTAATATTAAACTTTTAAAATGATTGAATAGTATAAACTTCTTGATATTTACTAAAAGGGTAAAGAATTTAAGCCCTAGAACCGATTACTGTATTGGCAGACTAATACTACAGCTGGTGGACCGCCAAATGCAAGCTAAAACATGTGGAGGTCGGCTCGTAAGAAACTCGTTAATCGAGTGATTGCTCGTTAACCGAAGTTAAAAATCTTATGGAAGGTAACTCGTAAACCGAAATCTCGTTAACCGAGGGACCACTGTATACAGTATTTTAAATTACTGGAAAAACATGTAAACAATAAATTTTAATAAAAAAATTCAAGAATTTTTATCTTATAACTTTGGGAAATCAGTACCTCTTATTGCTCAAGTGAAACTTGACTTCATAATATCCAGTATCTTTGTGAATTTTAACTCTTAACCTCATAATATGCATCCAAAATAATGGGTTACAACTATAAAATCATAGAATTTACAACCTTGATCATATTAAATACAGAGGATTTTTTTTACTGGGGGGCAAAAATGTAATAATAATAATAATTCATAATAATTAAATTTATAAAAAATAAAAATAATGAAATAATATTGATTAGCAGACTTGAAAAATTGCGCCAAATTCAAATTCGCCAAATGTAAATAGTACATAAACTAATGGGAAAAATAACAATATAGACTGGCCACTCTGTATCAACCTCTGATTTTCCCGTTTATAACCTCCAAATGATACAAATTCTGCCTTTGTTGACCTGATTGTGCTTTCCGGAAACTAGTTTTTAGGCCTTCCTCAAGTAATTTAATCACACACTGCTTTTCCTGCATCGAGTACCTTATATACACGTGCGTAGTTCGAGTTTTTATGACCAAATTTTTAAGCAAAAATTGGAGGTCATCCTCTACATGGGTAATAGTTTTGTTAGGTTGAATCCGTGCATGATGGGAAGGGCGAGGAGCAACTTTTAGCTTCAGACATGAAAAATATTTACCATTTACTGCCAGTAAACAATGGAAATGTAAAATTTGTACCAAATACTAATGAAAAGTTGTGCAGTTCCTTCAGCAGATGAAGCTCACCAACTTACAATAGGCTAAATTACCTTACAACGTGCTTTCAGTAGTCTATGTTGAAGTTCTTAGCACAGGCTAACTTATCATATTATATACGGTATCACAGTACACATTAATCTTCAAAAATACTGGTAATAAAAACCTTTTCGATATTTCACACTTCATATAATACCCGGTAATCCACCTCAACCTCCTATTGTTTACAATGATGCACGACGCACCACCAGCTGTTGCGTATCAGCTAGACGGTACATGTGTTTTTCGAATCGTTTTCAGTTAAGAAACTTGGCAAACTTGACTCCCTTATGATGGTCCCGTTTCTCCTTTTCCTTATTTGGCCGCTTAGGTGGGTCTGTCCCACCAGCACCAGTAGGACCCCCAGTAGAGGTACAGGCCATTATTTTGACTTGACAGGTGGTAGCACCACCCAAAAAAACCACACAATAGCAGCCCAGTCGGTCGCTAGGATGGCGCGGGCTACAAAGCGATAGTAGCGTTCTTGTAAACATCTTTTACATTCACCAACGACAATTCAATCACCAGAACGCTTCTTCGGAACATTCTTCTTATACTTTGTCTTCCCGTATTCATCGCTAACACAACAAAATTGGAGAAAATAGCAAAAATCACGGAGTAATTGACAGAAACAGTGCGATTCAACTGATCACGTGATGTAAACAGAGAGCGCCGGTGTATACCGTTATTAGTCCTCACTGCAAAACATTCTTTTTACTTATTCTTTTCATTTTAGTATTTATGGGTAACAGCTAAATTTGGAAAAAAATAACAAAATTTACAAAGAACCTCTCAAAAAACACTTCATAAACAAAAGACACGAATCAATAGAAAATGTGATGTCAAACGTGAACTCTAAACATTGCATAATGCATAACCCCGTGCCATGCTTAAAACGTTGAGGATGGAATCAAAACATTGAGGATGGAATAGCGCTATAGCCAACATTCGTATGCAAAAGTTCGCGCTTTACAAATAGCGTTCCCCTATTCATCAATCGCGTTACAACCAATTCGCGTTGACAAAACACGCGTTGTCCCCTGCCCACCTCGCGCAGTCCGCCACTACAACAAAATTCAGCCCATAAGAGCCCGTACTGATAGATATAATAGCACCATCCTATCTATTGTTAAAATAATAAACAACTCCTGATTTATGTACTGTACAGCGCTGTAAATGTATTGAATGCATATTATTATGTCTAAATCACATGTAAGTTTGTATATTTTCAACCACCGGCTGCAACTCTATTAATAAACCGTTTATTATTATTATTTTATTTTTAATGGACTGTAACTGGTATGAGGGCTGTGAAGTCATTCAAGACGGTGGCCAGCATTCAGCTGGCTGGATCTCACGAAACTCACGATATTTTACGCCAAATATAAGACTTGGTTACATTAGGTAGTGTTTGCGAAATTCAACAACGCGAAATATGAAATCTTACTGTATATGTACTTTTGTTTTGTCAAAGTAGGAGAAACAATTGAGACCCTGCAATTGCGTGTAAATGAGGCAGAAATTCAGATCAGCAACCTGGGACTTGGCCACAATTTTTGTGATGCCATATGGCAGCAGGGTCTACCATTAGACAACACATTATAACGGAAAAACTTACAAGCGTTTCCTCTTGGGGAGTTGGATATTCTCTTTCTTGAAATTCTTGATTGAGACATCATAATGCACCAGCTTAACTTTTTCATTTTTCACATTAACGGCAAAATAGTTGGCTTTTAGTTGGATTTTACGTCCAAGAGTACCCAAGTCTTTCCGAGGCGGAGGATGGGGTTCTGAAATAATAATTTAAAAAGTCCATTATCATCCATTAGACTTTCATTAAAAACAGTACAAACATACTCAATGCTTATGAGAAATACCAAGATAGTGTACCAATTCAAGAAATAAATTAAGCTTGAAATGAAGTGACTGATCCACATTATCAACCTATATTTGAACAGATTTTACTTAAATTCTTACCTTATTTATGTGATGGACACAAAAAATGAATCGGTAAACATGGTTTCGAACACATTCAATCGTGTTCACATTTTGTGGAGGTGATCAACACAAGACCAAGATAAAACAATATTGACAGGTTTTATGCATGCGAAACACATTTTTGTGTTTCCATGGCAAATTTATACTTTTGAGTATTTTAACTGATATTACCAACAAAGTTTAATATTTACGACTAACCTGCTGACGAGTTATTTTTATTAGTTTATTCCCTTACTTTATTTTTATCAGCGAGTTCTGTTATGTTTTCTTGTGCAATTTTTTTGTTTCAAAGATAATTAGACGCCTTGGCGCGCACTAATTTGTCTTCCCAGCGGTAATGAGGCGGCGCTCTCATGGTGCTGTGCTTTTCCCCGGGATCACGGCAGTTTCAGCATGATGTGTGAGGGTTGTCGCCAGTCTTATATGTACTTCATAATTTGCGAATTCATGGTTAAACACAACGAGACCCTTCAATTGTTCAAAGACCGCGGCGTTGTTCCTTTAAATAAAGACTGTCCACACTACGGGAATCCCTGTGCTTTCAGACCGGAAAGAAATTTGTTCATCACTTCCTCAACGCCGTGGCACGACATTTCCCGCCATCATAATATATCACTCCGCCGCCCGGGCAGCATAAGCACCAATGCAATCATATCACATCCAGAAAATGTCTCAAATTTTGTTATATCATAGTAAGTTCTTTCTGTTTAATATACTGGGTAGTCCGGGGGTCGGTGAGAAAATTAAGTAAGGTTAGGTAGGTTTGTTTGGTTAGGTCTGTTCTTCATCAAGTAACGTTTATTTTTAAAAAATCTATTTTTTAACACATTTGCACAAACTACTATAAAATAACAGTGATAATCCAGCATGTGAAGGTGGTGTTGTTTTCGGTGTTCAGATGAGGGATACATAAACTTGAATGCAATTCTTAACCTTTTTATAGGTTAGGGAAAGTTTTCAAAGGTTTGTTTGGTTATTTTGGGTATTTTACCCCACATTTCTTTTCTACTTTAAAGTCCTGCCCACTTTGAACAACCAATATTGTTGGTAATTGGGGAGCGGTAGCCAGGGAGGGAAGGGGTCATATAGGTTAAAATACTCGAAAAATTTCAATTTGAGACGAAAACGTAATAAATAGAATCAAGTATTTTTCCTTTTTTGTTAATATTTAGTCGTTCCCAATACCTACTTATATATATTAAGTCATGTGGGAAGTAAAATAATTTTAAATAAATTAAAAAGAATCTTAACTGGCCCCCTTCCCACTGCATGGCCACCTCCAGGTAAATAAGGTGAATAAAGATAAAGTGGCGTCCAACACGTCCACCAACATCCATAAACATGAACAATCCCACGCTAAACTGTTAATAAACCGAATGCCATATTAAAGATCCTGTGACGTTTAGTATCCCCCAACATGGGTTATCATGAACGATCTCTTAAGTTACAACACAGATAATCTAATGAAAAACAGGGCGTGAAAACTAACTAAGTCCTCACTCTCTGATCTGCCAGTGACTTTCTATATTATATTACCTTCGCCCAAGGGATGCCACTTCATGATGACTTTCGACATCTCGTAATAGTCCAATGTAGAACACAAGAACCAGCAGTACTAAGCTGTCACGCCAACGGTTGTTGAGGTTAGTTCCTACATGGGTCTCCTGTTGCGTCCTAGCGTGAGCCTTGAGTCGCGACATACACAGGTTTGTTTATTTTCGGTACACACCAGACTATCGTACACCTATACCATAGTTGTTGTACAGTAGGGTCGGTCACTAACACTCAATGTTTTAATATTTTTATTGCATACAACAATAATCAAGATTGTATGTGTATCGATAAATTATTCGTTTACATGAATATGGTTAAAACTTCAAAGGGTTATTTAAAAAAGTAAATTTGCGTTTTCAATCAAAATGGCTCTCGAGTTGTTGAACAATGTGTTTTTCTTTTTTATTTTTTAATTTATTTTATCCTCTTCACCACTGATCGGCTCGTTAGCCGCTTGGGAGATCAGTCACGTCTCTGTTACGCATTGTTGGCAAGTACTGTACTGGGCATGCACCGGCTCCTGAATGTACTTGAACCTGCTCCAGTGTTGGTCAAGTCTCGTCTTGTAAGAGCTCACACTCGGTGCCGTCACAACACTTTCTGGTAGATTGTTCGTTTACAACTCTCACTCCGAAAAAAGTTTGCCCTCACAGATTTTGAACCTGCGGCTTCTTCAGTTTTGAGCTGTGACCCCTTGTGGGGCGAGCGTCCGCCAGCTCCAAATAAGGACATCGGACTAAGTAGTGCCCCTTGAAATGCTTATACACCTCAATTAGGTCGCCCCTTGCCCGTCTGTAGTATAAGCTAGGCAAGTTAAGGAGCTCCATCTCCCAGGGTAGTTGAAGTGCCGAAGTGCAGGCACCAGTTTGGTGGCCCTCCTTTGAACATTTTCAACTTATTGACAGTCCCTAGCATATCTCGGGGACTAGACAGGGTGACAGTACTCCAGATGGGGAAGCACTTCACTCTTGAAGATCGTTACGAGGGACGGACCGTCTAGATATCTGAACGACCTTCTAATGCAGTGGTTCTCAACCTTGTTTGCCCCATGCACCCCTTTCACCATATGTCAGAATGTCATTCCCCCCTCCTTTCCAAGATTGTCTGCCTCAAAAAGTGCATTCCAAATAATATGAATATAATACTGAAAATCCTTTATTTTTTCCATATTAGTACATATACATTTACAATTTTACATGGATTATTTTTATAGTGGAGTTTTACAAATTAAATGCCAATTGAAAATGTTGATGGATTTATAAAACTTGAATAAAAGTAAAATAGTTTTTTTATATTTATAATGAATTACTTAACAGACCAAACTGAAGCATAATGCAATAAACAAAAAGTTCAATAGAATACCAGGATATTGTAAATTTGTAATTAATTTTATTCAGATGAAGATTACAGTCAATGAGAAACCTGTGATTGTTTTTTCTTCGCCAATTCTGGGATACGCGGAGGAGTGCTTGAAAGGGCACAACGCAGGTCATTTTCTACCTCTAATCTACTACGTTGCTTCGTTTTAATTTGCAACAGAGTTGAAAAGCCTGACTCACAAAGATATGTCGACACAAACGGAAGCAATGCACGGATAGCTCTTTCTGCCACTTTTGGGTAGGAATCGCACATCAAGGGCCAAAATTCTGTGATTGATTTCTCATCGAACATATCTCTTGCTCCCGAATCAGTTTTCCCCCCCTGAAAACCTGAATTCCCCCCTGGTTGAGAACCCCTGTTCTAATGAGACCCAATAATTTATTTGCCTGATTTACCTTCTTCTCGCAATGGCCCGAGAACTTCAGCTCATTGTCAACATACACACCTAGGTCCCTCTCACATTCACTCCCAAATAGTGCAGTTTCTTCATCCCGTTGGGACATATGATACGCCTCCTTACCGTTGGTACGCCCCTTGCAAATGGCTTAAATATACCAGGGGATGCAGGGAGGTGGATGTTAGGTTAGGTAATTTTAGGTCATCTGCGAAGGAAACGTCATAGAAGAAATAGGGTTTAAAATTGTCCAAACCATCGGAAAAACACATTGTTCAACCCAAGGCCATATTGGTTGAAAACGCAAATTTACCTAAACAATAATTAAACAATTTGGAGTTCATAATACTTCTCTCTCTCTCTCTCTCTCTCTACATATATATATATATATATATATATATATATATATATATATATATATATATATATATATATATATATATATATATATATATAGTTTAATAAAAATTAAAGTGAACGAGTTATATTGGGAAACTCGTTGAATATCAGAAATAATACTTGTTCTCCAAGTTATATGATAATCATCGTACAACGCTATGTCCCTAGTATAGTACCGTATTTCTTTGCCACTCATTTTTTTCTTTCTGGTGTAAGAAGAGTAAACGCTCAATATGTTTATAAAAGAATAAAGTAAAAACTATAGTAACTAATAAAAGCGCTTAAACTAAATATTTACTATATAAATACAAGATGTGGTGCAACACATTCTAGAATATCACCAGACAGGTCTAGTTCACGTCCCTTCAGTAATACTATACGTCCTTACAGAAACACCTTCCGTTCAAACGGTGAAACATGTTATAACACACACACATTCTTTATATTTTACTGAGGAACACCAGTCTTATGAGTTTTTATTTAACACTTATATATATTTTAATATTTTAATTCAAGAATTATGCTAAAATTTAATTTTTCGAAAAAAATAAATTCAAACAAATATATTTCGAAATTATGCTGTAGAAAACCGTCTATGGATCCCTGGGGAATAGGCGTACAGAAGGTGGTATAGCAACGGGGGTGATTGACCCCCCCCCCCTGAGTTAATAAATTATTCTAAATAAACCATTTTAAAACAAGAAAATAACAAAAATAACGATAACGAAATAACTTAAAACAGTATCAACAATAATTGGTAAGGTCATCATGAACTTACGGAAAAAATATTAATTATCTCGTATTTCAACAATACCACGGTACGATTAACTCAAAGTTCACCCCCACCCTTGGCAAATTTCAGGGTACAGTGTAGTGGATTTCTCCCCTACAAACGCTGTTTGTCGCTGAGAAGCCGACCCCACCAATTCCCCAGTGTATGCCTCGTGGTCTAGGTCAACCAGCGCCGCCATACATCACGGAGCGGGGGTCAACTACTAAGCCACGCCAACCCCCGCTATTTAAGACCTGGCCTCGTGGTCGCCCACCACACAGAACCAAGAACACCACGTGGCCCGTGGAGGTGAAGCCCACGTGGTCAACCTCACCGTCTCTGACTTCTTCCACACCTATGAGAACTTAATACACGAGGAAGACGAACAACAAGACCCAAACACAAACGAATGGACACTCCAAGAGAGCAAGAAGAGGAGGAGAGTGAGAAGAAAATCGACATCAAGCTAAGAAGACCAAGACATCCCCTCCACACAAGAAACCAACACACACAATCAAGCCGACCAAGCACTGAACATCCATTGCCCAACCCAACACGCACCTGACGCTTGACCTGACGCTAGCCTGGCCGTGTCTTGTCGCCTCCCGGCCGCGTCCAGGCGAGTTGCTGCTGCCTCCATCTTATAATCCCTCACGCAAGCGGTGTTTAGCCACTGCATCTGTTCTCTCCTCCTAAAATTCACTTCAATCCTCCCTTTATTCTTCCCCTGAGCCTCCTTCCCCCCTGTCACTAGCATTTTTGTATTGTATTGTGATCTCCCTCTTTCTACCTACAGCCGCAGCCTGCAACACACCTCCTCCGCCGCTGCCTGCCTGGCGGTCCTCTCTCCCGCCGGCGAGCATGGCGACCCACAAGCTGTCCTTCTCTGAGCGTCCTCACCAACTAGCTCTCTCTACATCACACTTGTAACCATGCCAAGACTAATCCCGGGCATTAGGAACCTTGAGTATAGAGACAGGTTAAAGCATCTTAATTTGCACTCCCTTGAGAGACGTAGAGCGAGGGGCGACCTGATAGAGGTGTATAAATGGAAGTCAGGGCTAAACAAAGGGGACATTACAAAGGTACTCAAACTATCCAACCAGGAGCGAACTCGTAACAATGGTTTTAAATTAGACAAATTTAGATTTAGGCGTGAAATAGGTAAACACTGGTTTGGAAACAGAGTAGTGGATGAATGGAACAAGTTACCAAATATCATCATCAACTCGAATACGCTGAATTGCTTCAAACATAGGTTGGATGCTCATTTGAGCAATAGGGGTTGGGTGTAAACGGGACTGTCCAGTATGGGCCAATAGGCCCGCTGCAGTTTCCTCCATTCTTATGTTCTTATATAGAGAGCACATTGTGAGTTTCCTTTCTCCATTCCATCCTGAGTGTGAACAAAAACATCTTATATCCCCACAACAGCACACCTCTGTTGGGGAGTACATGATTCCAACTCACTGCAACTTAACACACACATGGGCAGCTTTGGATTCTTTGAACAGTGGGAGTCCAGTCTTTGAACACATTATTGGTTCATGTAGAAAATTAGTAAATACAATAAGGAAAAATGGCCATAATGTTCAATTTGTATGGGTCCCTTCACATGTAGGCATTGGTCTTAATGAAGCAGTAGATATAATAGCAAAAAGAGCCACGGAAAAGGCCGAGATCGACATAATATGTACTAAAACCTTGAAACAATTAAGGAGCAAATTACGGAAAATACAATCAATAGAAGATAATTTCAAAAGGAATGAAATATACGAGAAAAGTGAAACAATGAAACATTACCATCATGTTCTCATGAACACAAAATTTACATATGGGAAAGATAGGAGTAGGTGGAAAGATTCAGTGTATATGAGGTTAAGATTAGGATATAAATATTATTGGGAACTTGGAGCTGAGAGAAGTGAACAGGATAAAGAATGTAGAGTTTGTAGAACATCCAGATCCCATACCCTGCCACATTATATACTGGAATGCCCATTGCTTAATGTATATAGAAATGCCCATATAAATAATGTCCCCAAGCAAATAGAGTGGATGTTTAAAAATAGGAAAATAGACGAAATATTAAAGAAATATAGAAATTTTGCATCTAGAATATAACTATGTACTATAACTGATTATATGAAATATTAGGGATTTATGTGAGTCCTGAGAGGGACATTCCTGGACTGGGGTTGGGATGAC